TATCTCCTCTGTATTTTCTCACTGATTTCAGCTGGAAAATCATCATGCCATTGAGTCTGACCAGTGTTGAAAGTAGTTCCGGCAAATTGTGTCCTTTCACTCTTGACACGTTATTTAGCTTGAATTGAGCCTCAGTTATAATGTAAATATTGAACTACATCACTTATTGCATAGTTGAGATTAGTATCTGGCTTTTGAAAATCAGGTTTAGTTTTTCACATTCTGGAACAGCTACAAAGTTTTGGAAAAAGGTGTGCTTGCATGATTCGAAGATTAGTGGATTAAGTGTTTGCTTGTCACACCGAAGTCCTGGGTTCCATTCCACACACAGGTACAACGTGATGCCCATTTATGGTGCGATACCTATTGTGACCTCAGTATCGAGATTTGTATCCATTTATGGCATAAAACCATACTCAGTCAGTCAGTCTGATATGTATCACACCATTAGGCACCTATATCTTGACACCCCTATTAAATATATATAGAATACTACACGAGGTCTCATTACATATGAATTATACGAAATGATTGTCCTTCCTATGATATCTGACCGAGTGAAAGCGAGGTCAGAAACCATAGGAAGGTCACGAGTTTCGTATAATTCGTATGTTATGAGACCGAGTGTGGTATTTTATTTATTATCCACGTCTTACATGCATTGAATTGACAAAATAGCGTATTTTTGTTATTGTTATGGTTTCAAACCGAAACCGGTTTCATAAAGAGGTTGCGGAAGAATTTTGTTCTGTAGTACACTTTTGCATGACGTCACACTGTATTGATGTCACTACGCCATTCTGGTCTGTCCCCTTGGTAACCGACGTCACGATGCATGTCAGTTGTCATCGCCTCTCGTACAGCCTCCTACAGTAAACTACTCTGTAGCACCCCGTTTCTTGGTTGCAACTGCTTCCCTCGGCTAACATCACTGGTGGAAACATTGCGTTTATGTTTTTCGACGGATATAATGTCTCAGTTCGACTCGACAATATTAAACAGCGACACGGCAACGTTCGCAATGTTTACATTCCCACAATGCATCTAAGTTGTAGAATGAATGAATTCACGTGTTTGTTATGAATGAACAAGTAGTTCCGTCACAACGTGACCTAACTGAGAGGTCATTGGTTATCCAATCAAATCGTTAGAATCTCAGGTCAAGTCGTTATGACACAGGTCAGCTCGATACGACACTCGTGTGACGTACGAGATTAGTATGCAACTACCCATACCTTCACCACGTGGGTAATAAATCATTTTATCGTTAGTAGGATATTTTGCATGAAGTTCCAAGGATTTGTGGTTATATGAAACTACCCCGCTAGGTCATACATGTACTTGTATAAAGTTGTCACTGCTAACAAATTAATATAATTCAGATGGTCAACGTTATATTTTATTAATATCATGGCTCTCTCAAAAACACCATGATAGATGGTGAAAATGGCTGTGTATAATGTATACAGTGTATTAACTTTTGAGATGGTCCCTATCATATGCCACTGCTTGTTGTTTGGTGTTGTTTAGGTAATTTCCAGCTGTATTATGAAATAAGCCTGTAAATAATCAAATCTGGACCAGACAAACCAGTGATTGATATTATGAACCTGCTGTGAGCTACGGTGCCACACATTCAACCAAATCACCAAGCCTGGCACCAGAAGCTGTTTAGTTGCCACGTATGACAAGAAAAACAATATAGATACAGGTTGGTGGTATCTGTTGACTACATATAGAATACACTCAAGACGTTTTAACAATGGACCTATGTAGGTGCAGACACAGAACTAAGTGCTTGTGCTCTGATTTTATACTGGAACTGGGAACAATGCATTTTATTTCAGAAAAAAACACAACAATTATTGAGTGACAGAGGCTGAATTTTATGACTACACAATATGTGGCACATTAACCCATGTTTCACTTACATCTAGGCCTAACTAAACTATTGAAGGTGTAGACAACAGGCAACATGGTTCTGTTCACTTAGCGTTGCACATAATTAAAACGACCCCTTAGTGTTTCAAGGAAAGCTCTTGCATCAGTTGGTACACTTTGAATGTCATGCTGTTGTTGCAAAATGTCATGCTATGGTTTGATGATGTCATGATTTTGTTTAACATTGTCATGCTATTGTTTGAAAATGTCTTGCTTTTGTTAAACCCCAGAACCTTTTACATACAGTTATACCAAGGAATTCTGCCGTCAGGAGACATTTTTATTCAACCAGTAATTTGAAAACTATTGGTTGGTTGTTTACAGCAATTTACAAATTTGGACTTAGAAAGGTTGTTCAACCATTAACTTGAAAAGTATTGGTAAAAATATCTTCAAATTTGGAAAACAGAGGTGTTGTGCTAAGTTTGGTTCTAATTTTCGAATTTGTGCAAGAGTTGCTTGATTTATGCATTTTGAACTTTAAGAAAACCAACAAAGGAATTCTTTTTCAACCAATAATCTGGACACATTTGAATTTATTATTTTTGAATTTGGAGATCACCCTCCATTTTGATAGGTGAGGGGCAGTGAAAAGTGATTTTTTTATATTTTTGATTTATCGAAAATTATCACAAAATACATCTTTTGAACTTTTGGGGGGAAAGTCAAATTAGTTAAACCAATAAACTTACAATCATTTAATGGATTGTTTTTGGATTTGGGAAATGACTTCTTTGTTTATCAAGGTACTGTAAATTTATCTCCGCAAATAGGCAAGGAGGAAAAATGCAACAGATTATTTCCTCTATCATCAACTTAGCAGAGTGAAGTCCTCATGTACTATATCTCCATTTGGATCAGAACTGTCATACTCGTGCATATGCGGATGGACCTATTCCGACCCTCCATGAGCTTAATACTCATGATACATTATGGCGTAGCTACCACAATTTGTTCTACACAAATGTGATTGAAATAATGGAGGTTTATTTCTGGAGAAATCCGATAGTGGTTGCAAACCATTATCTGAGAGATATCACCACGAGGGGCGTCTCAGGTATACACCAATTCGATCCATGGTCCTCGCTACAGCAGCTGACAGTTCCTCGGAGAAGACAAGTCAATTCCAACAGATTTTGCGTATCTTATAACCAATATTAAATAGCTTCCATGCCATATATACTTCACTTAAAGTCTCCTTTTTCATCATCACAGTACGTTCATGATTACATCACAAGCCAACATACAAGCGTTCGGTTCTGCCACAGAGTTTATTTATCTATACAGCCTACCTGGGGTTATTCATATCTTAAGAGTAATACTGAGCGGTCGTTACATGATAAATGCATTAGCTGGTCAGTCTCTTCACAGTTTTGGCTATTTTATACATAACTTAAGTTAATTAAGCTAACAAACTCACGAGGTTTACTATTATATAGGTAACCCAAGCTAATTATGCTGTAAGCATAGTACTATACTCATATTATTAAAAGATATATTGGCTAACAAACTCTAAGGGTTTGCTATTATATAGGTAGCTTAAAACTTCATATCTTAAGCAGGTACTATGTTTATATCATATAAGTAGATTAGCTAACAGAGCTCTAAAGAGTTTTTTTTTTGCTATTTGGCTTAAGTATCATCATATTTCTAAGCAATATGGTTATATTATAACATGTATTAGCTAACAAATACTACAGAGCCTAGCTATTATATATGTAACTTAAACTATTCATATCTTAAGCGCAGTACTATATGTTTATATCCTTATAGGTAAAGCTATCAAAATAGGGTTTTGCTATTATATATTTAAACCCAAGTTTCATCATATTTTAAACTTTAACAAAGCATGTATTAGCTAACAAACTCTGGAGCTATTATTTGTAGCTTAAGTTTTCCTTCATAAATCAATGCAGGTTTATATCATAGCTAACAAACTCTAAAGCTATTATACAAGTAGCTAGTTTTCATCATATCTTAAGCAGTATGTTTACATTATAAAGTGATATAACCAAACCGGGTTTTGTTATTATCATATATAGCTTAAGTTTCATTAGCTATGTTTTAACATAAAAGTATATTAAACTCTAGGAGTTTAGAGTTTTTTGGTTATACTATGGCTTATTAGTTAATAATATCTACACAAGTTTTTGGCTATTATATTCATGTAGCAAGTTAATAATATCTTAAAACTTAATGCTATACTCATATTGTAAAATATATTAGCTAACAAACTCTGGAGTTTTGCTATTATATATGTAGCTTAAGTTCATTATATCTTAAGCACACTACTATACTCATATTGTAAAATATATTAGCTAACAAACTCTAATGGAGTTTTGCTATTATATATGTAGCTTAAGCTAATTATAATCTTAAAGCACACTACTATACTCATATTGTAAAAATATATTAGCCAACAAAACCCTACAGAGTTTTACTATATATATGTAGCTTAAGCTAATTATATCTTAAGCTCAGTACTATACTAATATTATAAATATATATTAGCTAACAAACTCTACAGAGTTTACATATATATATGTAGCTTAAGTTAATTATAGCTTAAGCACAGTACTATACTCATATTATAAAAATATATTAGCTAACAAACTCTACAGGTTTGGCTATTATATATGTGGCTTAAGTTAATTATGGCTTAAGCACAGTACTATACTCATATTATGTAAAATATATATTAGCTAACAAACTCTACAGGTTTTTGCTATTATATATGTATAGCTAAAGCCATTCATATCTTAAGCTCAGCATTATATCTATATCATATAAGTATATTAACTTTTGGATTTAAAGCTTACAATCATTTAATGGATTGTTTTTGGATTTGGGAAATGACTTCTTTGTTTATAGAAAAGTGCAGTGCAGGGTTTGAGAGAGATCTTGTATTTTTGTCAAGAATGATAATTATTAATTGTTGTACAGCTTTACGTTATGATGACATCATGCCTTTGCAAGTCTGGTCAGTTGTTATGAAGTGTCACTTTATCGTCACTGGAAATATATTAAGGATGTGTTTTAAAGGCTTTTCTTTCTCCTAGATGTTTACTCGTCGCCTGGCAACAGACAAAGATGTTCAGGACAATATCAAGAATTTCAAGGAAGGAAAATTTGACAACATGCCAGATCCCTCTCATCTTGAACACTTTAGGTAAGGTGATACATTTCTGAATAATGTTGTAGTGGTTTTGTCATCCATTGAAGGAGCCGTCAGCAAATCAGGTTTCAAAGTTTTATGTAAGAATGAGACAGGCATCTCTAACAAATTTGTGTATATGACAAAAAAAAAACAGGGAGTTCTGAATGAAAATGGACAATAATCCACATTTTGTGGAAAACTGGCTGCAATGAGATCCTAGACATTAATAGCTTTTCTTTAATTATGACTTCTATATTTTGACAGGTCTGGGAAAAGTGACCCTCTCTCTATGAAAGAGAAACCTCCCATTGGAACGTACACCATGCCCCATCCCATATGGTATGTAGACGTACCATTCCCAGCTGTTCTGAACTCAACTCTTGTCCATGTGTGTGTTTCTCAGTTGTTGTGGGCTGTGGGGTAGCCTAGTGGTTAAAGTGTTGGCTCGTCACGCCGAAGACCCGGGTTCGAATCCCCACATGGGTACAATGTGTGAAGCCCATTTCTGGTGTCCCCCGCCGTGATGTTGCTGGAATATTGCTAAAAGCGGCGTAAAACGAAAACTCAGTCAGTCAGTCTCAGTTGTTGTTCTTGATTATCCCATTTTGGCCACGAGGTCTTGAATACGAATAAACTTCTTCTTCTTCTTGATTATCCCCTGCATCACATCTCCGTCCTATCATGATATCCACAATGGACTACTCACAGTCAACACTTTGTTTTGAGTCGGTCCTAATTATGTGACACTATAATAACTGTAGAAATTCTTGCCTTGTTGACTGCCAGTGAGTGTGATAGTGAGTTTTTGTGCTGCTTTTAGCAAAATTTGTGCAATATCATAGCAAGCAAACCAGAAATAGTTGTCACATATTGTGGGGAATCAAATGTTTGGCATGGCGAACACTTAAACCACTACCGGTAAGCTAAAGCCCCCTGTTGCAGCTTCAACTGGGACCATCACTCCCATGGCTTATACTGACTGACTGATTTTGGTTTTACGTTGCTTTTAGCAATATTCCAGCAACATCACGGCGGGGGACACCAGAAATGGGCTTCACACGTTGTACCCATGTGGGGATTCGAACCCGGGTCTTTGGCGTGACGAGACAACGCTTTAACCACCACCCCCCCATGGCTTATAACCAGGACAAGATCACTTGAAGTTTAACATACATATATATACCAGTAAAATAAGTATACCATAAATATGATGAAGGCTTGTGATGTCTCTGATGCACTGGAAACATTTTGATTGTTTTTGATATGTTCTATGAAAAAGCAAGGCTAAACATCCAATAGTTATGATGTCGCTAAGTGCATCTTTAAACAACAAACAAACAAGTATATTTATTAGTGCCTCACTCATAATGTGACTTTTGGGCAGGAAAACAGTGACTTCCATTTTTTTCTGTCTTTGACTTTTTGTCATAATTTTCTGCCAAAATGACTGGACTTGTTTACATTAAACATTCATCATTCAAAATCAGTTGTGACAGTCTTTCAGTATCATGACACATTTAATATTGTGAGTGTGTATTGCCCAAGCCCTAATGTACATATGTCTAGATATGTCTGATCATGATAATTGTCCATTCACAGGAATGAAGGTCAACTGCATCAAGTCAAAATAACTCACAAGGAGCCTGAAGGAAAGGTAGAGAAGGTGAGAGTTATCTCCCATGATCAAATATCTTTGGGTATTTTTTAATGAAGAACTCAAAAGTATGTGCTAAAATGTTATTGTTTAGGGCGAAGATGACTATACATGTGAACATTATTGATAAGCTTTTAATTATGGTTAATTATGGTAGTAATGATTACATGCCAAAAGTTCTGATTTCAAAATAAGGTTACATATGAAATACATGTAGCATGAAATAATGGGATCTTTCAGCCTACTGTAAAGGACTCATGGAACAAAACTTAACACTACCATTTGTTCGTTTATCCAGATGGCCTTCATGACTGTCAAGGTATTCAGAAAGGGGTTTGACATCTTCTCAGGGTTTATATTTGGACAGCGGAATGAAAAAAAATGGCTTACGTAAGTACACATTACAAATCTCTTACACAGTGAAAGTCCAGGATTGTTGGTTAATCTTTAATGATCTTTAATATTTCATGGTGTTTTGATGATTCTTGCTGAACCCAGAGCAAACACTGATTGCCCAATGTAATGAAAGGCTGTGGGGGGATCTTAGGCCTATGTGAGTGTCTTAGACAATTCAGCCTTTTTCCCTTATGATATAAAGTGTGAAAGTTGATGGTAATAATGGGACATCCAGACAGAACACAAATATTCCTTCTGTGGTACTCTCCTTTGTGTGTAGATGCCATTTTGTTGGGAAACGGCAGGGTGTCTAAACTATTTGCAACAATATCATGACTCAGACACTTTTACTAACATTTGTAATTGGTGTGTTAAAATTATTTACATAGTACAGAAATCAGATGTGCTTTATCTAGTTATACAGAGAACTGAGAATGTCAACACTGATTTGACGATTCGGCAACATCTGATGCAAGCTCTGGTATATGGGGTTGTTGCACACTGAAAACACTCATGTGTGAGTGAAAGATCTGATTTTGATGAAACTAGGAGTGTTAAATAATATCCCGCCAATGCACAGTGACTGGATCATTAGGATCAGGAACTGTTATTTGTGAAAACATGATATTCTTGTCATGTCATCAATTTGGATTGAAATTATTGGTATTTAATTACCTACACTGCAAATGATATTAATGAAATGAGTATATATTAACAATTCTGTCCAAAATACCAAAATATGTGTTAATGCCAAAATTATTATTGTATGTTATACAGAAGAATCTGTTTCCTGGAGACTGTCGCTGGTGTTCCTGGGATGGTGGCGGCAATGGCGCGGCACATGAAGTCACTGAGGATGATGCAGAGGGATTATGGATGGATTCACACTCTGTTAGGTACAACCTCATTGAAATATATCAGCTACAGTCAGACCTCGTTTATCCGAACACTTTGGTTTTTTATTGAATTGTTTGGACAAACGAATCATTCGGATATCTAAATCAGGACCTAGATGGTCGGCTACACGTGAAAACACCATGTGACCTCATCTGTCGATCAAAAGACAGCAGCCAATCACGAAACAGCTCTGCTGTCATCCACGCCTTTGTGTTGTTTCTATATCTAGCATACACCTCCATCTTTGTTTATGCTTACTCAATCAACGATTCGAATCAGTGTCAACGCAATGTCAGACTTTAATTGTTTCTTCTCTAATTAACCTACACGCCCTTTGATAAATGTTCAATAAACAATGAATGAACTAGCAGCCAGCACAATGTTTTGACAAGCGGTAGACATGATAGACTTCGTGTTTTGATACCTCGCCGACAACAGACCTTGGGTTTTGATATAGGATAGAGCACTGTTGAGGAGCGGTAAACATCAGACATCTTACCGACGACAGCCTTGGTGTTCGGATATACGAGGCAAATTGTACAAATTTATCTGTTTCGTTACCAAAATTGACCGTTCGGATACGGAAACCGAACATTCGGATATACGAGGTAAATTGTAACTAAAAAATTTCGTTTTTTGTGAAGCATGTTCGGAAACCAAAGTATTCGGATATCTGAAGTTCAGATATACGAGGTCGGACTGTATATGTGATAATTCCCCTTTTCTTCAATACCCTTTTGTTATACACCAGTCAATGTATATTTCTCTGAACCCATCTTTCCTCATATTATTCCAGAGGAGGCAGAAAATGAACGGATGCATCTCCTCACAGCACTGCAGCTGAAACAACCATCTGTTTTTTTCCGACTTGCTGTCATTGGTTCACAGGGTAAGTTGTAGCTTTTTCCAGCGGTTATAACAAGGTTTGAATCTTAAGTGAGTGAGGAAAGCATGAGAAGTGATGCAGATTTAAATGTTTCCCATGCCGGTGAAATCCAAGAGAAGTAGTATATGGCTTGTTTGATATACCTGTTAGTTTTAGTAAATTAGGATCATTCATTAGGTAACTGATGTTTAAGGTAATCCAGCTGAATATACACATATACAGTTGTTCCTGCTGGGGGACAGTTGCATATTTGTCGGATCATGATTATTATGTCTGTAACACATCCTCTAGTTGATAAAGCTTCTTGTGTGGGTTATTATAATAAGGGGCGGTGGGGTAGCCTAGTGGTTAAAGCACTCGATTGTCATGCCAAAGACCCAGGTTCGATTCCCCACATGGGTACAATGTGTGAAGCCCATTTCTGGCATCCCCCACCGTGCTATAGCTGGAATATTAGTGGCATAAAACTAAACTCACTCACTACTATTATAATAATGTCTGTTGGTAGCTACTATGTATTCAGTGTTTTATAAGCTAATGATGTGTTTTAGGGGTGTTTGTGACCATGTTTGGCCTGACATACTTCATCAGCCCTCGGTTCTGTCATCGCTTTGTTGGGTACCTGGAAGAGGAGGCTGTTAAAACATACACCAAATGTCTAGAAGTGAGTCCATCAACACCTCTCGCTAACCTAGCTATAGCTGCTGTGTTCAGAAAACGTTTCTTTGCCTTTCAGTATATATTTCTGAGACCTTACATAAGTCTTCTGATTGCAGGACATAGAGAATGGTCCAATGTCTCACTGGAAGACCCAGGCAGCGCCAGATGTGGCTGTGCGGTACTGGAAACTAGGGGTAAGGAACTGTAATGGTGATAATGGCTACACGACAGTAATGTTCCGAGTAGTGGATGACTTGATGAACCAGGCATATCTATAATGCACTTTAGAATTTTACATTCAGACATCAAATATCGGAATGACTATTACTATAACAGCACCTCATACATTCTCGACCGTTTCAGGCTGATGCTACCATGAAGGATGTGATTCTAGCCATACGGGCAGACGAAGCTCACCACCGACTGGTCAACCACACTCTGGCCTCCATGAAGAGCACGGACCATAACCCGTATAAGCCTGGGCAGTAGGGAACATGTTGAGAACACATATATACATTTCAAAACTCATTGGAAGCTAATACAAACATGGACAGTCAAGGATGTGTTAGGGGACCACACACCTGGACAGTCAAGGATGTGTTAGGGGACCACACGCCTGGACAGTCAAAGATGTGTTAGGGGACCACACACCTGGACAGTCAAGGATGTGTTAGGGGACCACACACCTGGACAGTCAAGGATGTGTTAGAAGGCCACCCACCTGGACAGTTAAGTCAAAGATGTGTTAGGGGACCACACACCTGGACAGTCAAGGATGTGTTAGAAGGCCACCCACCTGGACAGTCAAGGATGTGTTGGGAGACCACACACCTGGACAGTCAAGGATGTGTTAGGGGACCACACACCTGGACAGTCAAGGATGTGTTAGAAGGCCACCCACCTGGACAGTCAAGGATGTGTTGGGAGACCACCCACCTGGACAGTCAAGGATGTGTTAGGGGACCACACACCTGGACAGTCAAGGATGTGTTGGGAGACCACACACCTGGACAGTCAAGGATGTGTTAGGGGACCACCACACACCTGGACAGTCAAGGATGTGTTGGGAGACCACCCACCTGGACAGTCAAGGATGTGTTGGGAGACCACCCACCTGGACAGTCAAGGATGTGTTAGAAGGCCACCCACCTGGACAGTCAAGGATGTGTTAGAAGGCCACCCACCTGGACAGTCAAGGATGTGTTAGAAGGCCACCCACCTGGATGGTCAAGGATGTGTTAGAAGGCCACCCACCTGGATGGTCAAGGATGTGTTAGAAGGCCACCCACCTGGACAGTCAAGGATGTGTTAGAAGGCCACCCACCTGGATGGTCAAGGATGTGTTAGAAGGCCACCCACCTGGATGGTCAAAGATGTGTTAGAAGGCCACCCACCTGGACAGTCAAGGATGTGTTAGAAGGCCACCCACCTGGATGGTCAAGGATGTGTTAGAAGGCCACCCACCTGGATGGTCAAGGATGTGTTAGAAGGCCACCCACCTGGATGGTCAAGGATGTGTTAGAAGGCCACCCACCTGGATGGTCAAGGATGTGTTAGAAGGCCACCCACCTGGACAGTCAAGGATGTGTTAGAAGACCACCCACCTGGACAGTCAAGGATGTGTTAGAAGACCACCCACCTGGACAGTCAAGGATGTGTTAGAAGGCCACCCACCTGGACAGTCAAGGATGTGTTAGAAGACCACCCACCTGGACAGTCAAGGATGTGTTAGAAGGCCACCCACCTGGACAGTCAAGGATGTGTTGGGAGAACTCCACACCTGGGAGACCACCCACCTGGGTCAAGGATGTGTTAGGAGACCAGACAACTGAACAGTCAATGATGTGTCAGGAGACCACCCACCTGGATAGTCAATGACGTGTTGGCCAACCCCCACACCTGGACAATTTGAAATGTATGAAAACATATCAGGAAGAAAAAGTCCCACCACATTTGATCAAGTTTATGCTTTTATGCATTTTTTTCTTCTCGTCTCTAACTACGTAAACTTGGATATGTTTTCAACAGTCCAATGTACTCATTCATGTATATATTTGTAGCTGTGACTGTTGTCATTTCTTTCTACATATTTACAAATACTGTTGTTTGTGCTGTCGTCATCAGTACTTGATGGACTTGTTTATACGACGTTCCTCCATCACCTGTGAACATACGGGGGCAGCCCGTTCATCAGTGGTTATTATATACATGCCCTTTGGCCTTTGACCTGTAATAGAAGTAGAGCTGCACATGTTGTCAAGGGAGAAATGTTGCAATTTGTGCCATTGTCAGGTCACAGGCTGGAAACGTGGTTAAAAATAGCAATTACACAACAAGCCTTCATATGGACTCGTGAGTAATGGAGGAATATAGCTGTGAAGTGTTGATGATGATAAAATATAATCTGTTTTATTAAAAGGAACAAATCTCATTGTATGATTCTTTTTCTCTTGTTAAGTTTAAGCATTGACATGTTGTTTGCAAATGGTTTTGTATCCAGTTTTGTCAAATGTTCCAGAGTTTATTAGACAAGGTATAGATCTTGTAGTCAGGCTTCATGACTGGGATGATCAGATGTCAGACTAACTAAATGGCTGGGGCCATTGCTCATAATATCAATCACTGGTTCAGGCCTTATTTCCCTCCAGCCACTATCATATAGCCAACATATAGCGGAGCATGACATTTAACAAGAAACAAAGGCATGTATAGTAAGTAAGTGTTTATTTATCTTCAAGTTTGAATCAAGCTACATATCTGACAGCCCCTGTCGACACAGTGTGCATGTGTCAAGGGTATATGTGTACAGTCTAAGTAAACTTAGGCGCAGTGTTATTCGTTACACTGGTATACTTAGTCTAATAAACCCTAGTAGAAGATCGCGTCACCTAACCTTGAGCAACCTATGACCATCCAATCAAACGCGAGACAGACAAACAGATTTAACCAATCAGACAATGGCTACTATTTCGGCAGGACTTACAAAATGGCAACAAACGAAAATCCACATAAAACACAGATATTTGACCTGCAGTATATATGCTCAGGGGCTTCTGATGACAGTTACTATTAGCTTATATTTCCACAAGATGACATCGAATATTGACAAAAATGCGACCATTTACTCGCTGTTGTGAATAATGGTGTCCTCCATGTGCTTCACTCAGAAGCGATTGTGCAGAAAAAAGCATTTGGAATCATTTTTGAGGTAAAAGTTCAAACAGTATGTGTGAAAATTAACTTTGACGATTTGGTAAGCTGTGTTCTGATTGGTCAATTCAAAAGGTTACCTGACGCGACCTTCTACTAGGGTTTGTTAGGCTCAGTATAGCAGTGTAAAGAATAATACTGAGCCTAAGTTTACCTTGACTGATATGTGTACTGTAGGTAGGTAGGTATATTTATCATACAGTTTTTATTGTAACTGATATTTTATTTCTGAGTCCCTTTCACATATGAGACCAGACGCTCAGTGGAGTGGCTGGCTCAAGAAAGAAAACATGCACAGTATTTATGGGTTATTATTATGCAGGTTGTTACAGACAATAACATTGATGTCAGAAGAATGTTTTTTGTGGATTCAGATTTCTTTTAAATTTGTACTCAAGTTTACTCACACTTTGTACTAAGCCAGAAAAAAACATAAGGCCATATACTTCATTATTAAACCAAAACATTATGAAATATAATGAAATCTATACAGAGGTTTGAGTAAACAAAGGACAATGTACATATCAATTACTAGTGAGCTAGAGAAGCTAATGGACCAGTTAGCTACTTCAAGGTACACCCACTTGGTATAAACCAAATAATTTCTTTCAGTGATATGCATTTATCATTTGTGTTGTCCATGCAATAAGCAAATCATATACAATATGATGTGATAAATATGGAAATGAGATTCCCTGGCAGAAACTACTTTAGATGACGTCTGAACATAGATGTTTCATTTACTTCCTAAAACACTATTAATGTCCGTGCTTAAGTGTTTCAATAGTGGTTTCCTGAAGCTTTTGTAAACAAACATGAGTGAAATTAATTTGATACTATATCATCCACTGACTTGTGTTCCTACACAGTTTCAAAAATGATTTAATTCAATTTGTTTTAAGAATTAAGTTATGTGATCAAATGAGTGTCTTCATACCATGACGATTTATTTTCTGGTTCTTTTTGACCAAACCCAGAATATACAGGATATTGATATTTAGCAACAGCATACGTGACTTTTATGCACGGAAGTATTCTCTCATGCCACCTGATAATTTGTTTTAAAATGGCTTCGGTGCAGCTATACTGGACAAAGTTTTCATTTCCATGCATTATTTGTGTACCATGCTCTGTCTTGGCAGATTTCATTGTATGTTGATAGAGAAAAAGATCAACTGTTGCACTTTCCCAAGGGTTATTTTTGCCTGGTTTTATTTCATGTATTTTACAAACATGACATTCATAGTTTACACATATAAGTTTTAAGAAATACATGCAAACATGCAAGAGATGAAACAAAGCTATATCATTGAGAAGCAATGATCCAATGGATATCATAATATATAAAGACCTTAGCCTCTGTATATTTGTTTATATTATACATATATATTTACCATTGTTAAGCAGTACAGAAAGAATGAATGTGCAGTGTAGATGTGTGTTTGAAAGGAAACAGAAATTCAGAATCTGTGTTATTTGGTATTTTTTATGTAGGTAAAAGAGGACACCTTGAGTACACTCTTTGCTTGTTTTGTAGCAGGGATTCTGAAAACATTTATGATAACATCCAGGAGCCCAGGTCTAGTTTAGTTCAGGGAGACCAGTTCTAGTCTAGGTCAGGGAGCCCAGTTCTAGTCTAGTTCAGGGAGCCCAGTTCTAGTCTAGTTCAGGGAGCTCAGTTCTAGTCTAGGTCAGGGAGCTCAGTTCTAGTCTAGTTCAGGGAGCTCAGTTCTAGTCTAGTTAAGTCTAGTTCAGGGAGCCCAGTTCTAGTCTAGTTCAGGGAGACCAGTTCTAGTCTAGTTCAGGGAGATCAGTTCTAGTCTAGTTCAGGGAGCTCAGTTCTAGTCTAGTTCAGGGAGCCCAGTTCTAGTCTAGTTCAGGGAGCCCAGTTCTAGTCTAGTTCAGGGAGCCCAGTTCTAGTCTAGTTCAGGGAGCCCAGTTCTAGTCTAGTTAAGGGAGACCAGTTCTAGTCTAGTTCAGGGAGCTCAGTTCTAGTCTAGTTCAGGGAGCTCAGTTCTAGTCTAGTTCAGGGAGCCCAGTTCTAGTCTAGTTCAGGGAGCCCAGTTCTAGTCTAGTTCAGGGAGACCAGTTCTAGTCTAGTTCAGGGAGACCAGTTCTAGTCTAGTTCAGGGAGCCCACTTCTAGTCTAGTTCGGGGAGCCCAGTTCTAGTCTAGTTTGGGGAGCCCAGTTCTAGTCTAGTTCGGGGAGCCCAGTTCTAGTCTAGTTCAGGGAGCCCAGTTCTAGTCTAGTTCAGGGAGCTCAGTTCTAGTCTAGTTCAGGGAGACCAGTGTACTTGTCACCCTGGGAGTGTTAAAGTATGACATATATGGGACTGTGATATCTGTTTATGCCTTCTTGTATTCATGCAATATGTCCTGAAGCTCTTCATTACCACATTTTGTCTCATATGGTTATGTTCTTGACATTTTACAGATGTTGTATTTATATAAGAGTTTAATAAATAGTTATACTGTGTATAGTTGTACCGTTGTACTGTACAATGCACAAAGGGATCCAGAGAGGATGAGGTGGTACCCCTCCATTTCCAGTCATCTTAGTGTCAGTCTTCATCTATATCTTCAGCCATGTGTTATGCTTTATTTTCATTGTATTTGGATCCCATGGATCATTACTATTGATATGAATCACTGGTTTGTCTGGTCCAGACTCTTAGTCATACAGCTGGGTTATTGCTGAGTGTGATGTTAAACAACAAAGTGTCACAGACTGATGAGTATGTAAAAGATATGAATGTATAGAATTGGAAGCTAATGGTTACAGAATTTATTTGTCACACTGAGTGGGAAAAATAAATACCTCCTTGTAAAGACCATTCATGTTGACCCCTAATCTGGTATTGGGCTGCAGACAGTAAGGGTGTTCTTTCCATCCCTTACTGAGGGCTGTGGGGTAGCCTAGTGGTTAAAGCGTAGCCGGTCTCAGTTCAGTGGGAATGTTGTTTGAATTGACACTAAACCATACAACGTCTTACTGTGGTTAGGGACCATTCATAATTTATGGCTAGGGGGGTGATGGTGATCTTCATGGAGAAGCATGTACAATGTGAATGACCTCCCCCCCCCCCTTAGAATTTATGCACAAAGTAAGTGACCCCCCTGCATGTCATGTACAAAATCAATGACCCCCTTCCCCCTTCCCATATTTCTAAAGCACAATTTTTAAATATTAATATGTACAACATTGCTGACATCCCACCCCCCTCGAAACGTGTACAAAATTGATGACTATCCTACCTCCCCAGAACAAAATGGGTGACCCACCCCTTAAAATTATCATCACCCTCACCACACCACACTTTTGCCATAAATTATGAACGGTCCCTTGTGCAATGCAATAAGTTCTTTTTTTTTTGTATTACAGCTTGCACCAAATTCTATCTGCAGGTGGACAGTGAATAGCACAGGGGTTAAAGGGTTCACTCTGTGTCAAAGAACCACATGGGTACAATCGTCACGATATGGCTGAAATATTGCCGATGTGACGTTAAATTTTAACTCACTCACTCACATGGGTACAATGTGTGAAGCCCATTTTTCCCCCTTGCCTTGATATATCTGGAATATTGCTGAAATCAGCTTAAAGCCTTACTCACTACCTGAAGGATGGACAGCTTGGAATATTCTGACAGTTGGGATTATTCAACTCCACCTTAGGCCAGTTTTGCGACCAACTGAAGGACATATAACACAACTTATAATATCCAATCAAAACAGTGGTCAGGTCGCCAAAGGCGCTGTGCAGAGTTGCGTCCCTTCGGCAAACCCAAAATTTATGATCATGTTCGATTCCAGTTATATTTCTATCCTAGTGAACGTTTAATGTCAACATCCCTTCGGCTTTCATCCTACATCAAGCTGACGTGTGTAATGATTGGAATTCTGTTTATTGCTGCATAAAACCAAACTTATTCACTCACTTCATCGTCAGTGACTCCATGACAGCATAATACGCTTCATGCAACCTCTACCAGGACATGCCACCAAAGGGGCCTACGTATTCACAAACTTGCCTTAGTGGCAAGAATCAGTCATATGTTTATCGGTAAAATAAACTTTAACATAATGAACTTGAACGATTGGACAGACATAATGAGCTGGATAAGTTCAGTATAACTGCTTCTTAAAACACCAAGAGTGAGTGAGTGAGTTTACTTTTACGCGGCACTGAGCAATATTCCAGCTATATGGCGGAAAAACACCCAGAAGAAAGTTGAGTTTGGTTTAAAGTGGCATCAGCATTATTTCAGCCATAACGAGACCAAGTTTGTATTCATACACACACATTTTACGTACAAAAATTAATTGAGATTAAAAATAAACCCCATATTTATTCATTACATTATTATTTACATACAGAAAGTGTCATAGCACCAAATTGAAAACCAGCAATCCGTCATTCACATAACATATTTACAATTTTGATACAGATCAATCTCTTTCAAGTAGATTACAATGAGATTCCCGCTACAGCAGACCAAGAAAAACTACAATGTTTTCAGATGGTCCAAGTTGTCAGGTCCAGTTTGCACTGGTTCTTGCGCCATGACTATTACAGCACCGACACACTTCACCAGTCGCCTATAAGTATCAATGGTTTCATCTGACCTGATTCAGAACCAAGTCACTTTTTCGGTTGATGTATAAATATGTTGCTTTACTATCCACATTGCCAAGATACTTCTCCTGTGTTACATCAGGGTGTCAATAGTCTTGAACTAAATGGAAAAAGCTTGTCCTTTGTCTAGCGCCCAAACATTTCGTCTTCATACACAGGATTAAAACACTATCACGACCGACATGTACTGCTTGACAAGTGTTTTGTAAACATGTCACCATTGCCTGCAGCTGTAGGTGCTGGGTTTGTGGAAACATGACCCCCATGTACTGCATATATCACTCTATTGAGAGTTTCGCTTAGCCATGCAATAATGCTGATATTGCCTATAGCTCCACATATAACACCCTAAAGTGGTTCTGGAACATTCGAGTGTTCGTATTATACTATACATGTAGTTAATCTGTTGTGGCAGAAATATTGAAGAATAAGGTGTTTTAAAGTAGTATACATCAAAAGCATTTGCACATTTTTTTCATCAAAACACAATGTGTGATAAAATGTCCATACATTATAAGTCTTATTCTACTTGGTTTACGGATGTTTGTTTTCTAAAACATTTTTCGCTATAAAAACACAGGGTCGTTTTCGAAATAGAAATGCAAATAAACCTACAGTATAACATGTACCGGGCACTAATATTGCATAGTTTGGACCTCCCCTGTGCGGGATTTATTCCAAACACCGTATAAAGTTTTGCAGCGTAATATCTAAGCCGTTTCATCGTGTTATTTTGGCTCACAAAATCGTACCAGCTACAATGTCGAGATGTTTTCTGAGATCGATGCAGTAATAAATGTTGTGTGTAAATAGGAAGGATGTTATGACATTCCGTCGAGTGTTGATATTGTTTGTGACAAGCAATCTGCCGTTAGGGACACTCGATTCTGTCATAATATTATATACATAATCTCCCACACTATAGCGGATTAACTATAGTATATAGCAAGAATCGCGCCACATGAAATATTAACTACACTATTACGAAAGATCCGGGTGACCCATAACTTGAACCACAGAACAATGAAACAATCGGGTGGTCCTTACCTTGTTCCGAGTAGCATTAAGGATGCAGTGCCTCTTCGTGGAAACTGAGTTAGAATGTCCTGTAGCTCACCGGACAGAAAAATATGATAGATTATAGTGAGTGAGTGAGTGAGATGGATTTTTTCTGCAAACTGAATCCATCCCATATCTTGATGGAATATATTACATATGTTGAAGCCCATATTGCTGGAATATTGCTGAAAGCCGTGTAAAACCAAACTCACTCACTCACTATTACATATGTCTCATATGAAAGGGAAATAAATAGTTTGTAGTTTCTTGCAGAATTATCTATTATATTTATTCAATTGAAAAGGAGCAAAAATCAATAGGCACCTCTTTATGGTTAAGAAAATAACTGTTTTGCAACCAACGACACCTAGCACACCTTGTGTTTCAGTATTACCGGCTGATGATAAATGAATAAATATTCAGCTGAAGAATAAACAATCCGTATATTCCAAGTTACCCGTTCGCTATGCAGGGGCGTATTACGTGTATTACCCACTGTCTTGCTTTTGTTTGCTGAAGAATAAACAATCCGCATTTCCAAGTTGCCAGTAGGTCAGGGGCTTATTACGTGTATTATCCACTGTCTTGCTTTTGTTTGTTGAAGTATAAACAATCCGTATATTCCATGTTGCCAGTACGTCAGGGGCTCATTACGTGTATTACCCACTGTCTTGCTTTTGTTTGTTGAAGAATAAACAATCCGTATATTCCAAATTGCCAGTACGTTACGGGCGTATTACGTGTATTACCCACTGTCTTGCTTTTGTTTGTTGAAGAATAAACAATCCGTATATTCCAAATTGCCAGTACGTTACGGGCGTATTACGTGTATTACCCACTGTCTTGCTTTTGTTTGTTGAAGTATAAACAATCCGTATATTCCAAGTCGCCAGTACGTCAGGGGCTCATTACATGTATTACCCACTGTCTTGCTTTTGTGTGTTGAAGAATAAACAATCCGTATATTCCAAATTGCCAGTACGTTATACGTGTATTACCCACTGTCTTGCTTTTGTTTGTTGAAGAATAAACAATCCGTATATTCCAAATTGCCAGTACGTTATGGGCGTATTACGTGTATTACCCACTGTCTTGCTTTTGTGTGTTGAAGAATAAACAATCCGCCGCCCACTCAGCAATATTCCAGCTATATGTCAGCTGTCTGTAAATAATCGAGTCTGGACCAGACAATCCAGTGATCAACAGCATGAACATCGATCTACACAATTGGGATACGATGACATGTGTCAACCCAGTCAGCGATCCTGACCACCCGATCCTGTTAGTCGCCTCTTACGACAAGCATGGGTTACTGAAGATCAATTCTAACCCGGACCTCCACAGGTCTGTAAACTTCCGAACTGTTGGTGACGATGCGTTGACAGGACGACACGTTGCTATGCAACGACTTTGGAAACAATGAAAACTATGAAACAAATGACTCGAACTAGCTATAGTCAACGTTAAGCAAACATTATAATGCTCAGTGTGAAAATACGGATATCCTTACATTGTCCATATCATAATTGTCCTTGTTGTCTATATATGTAACACACACAATCACAATGACAAGTGAACTCGTGAAGATCCGGGTTAGAATTGATTTTCAGTAACCAATGCTTGTCGTAAGAGGCGACTAACAGGGTCGGGTGGTCAGGCCTGCTGACATGGTTGACACATGTTATCGCATCCGAATTGCGTAGATCGATGCTAATGCTGTTGATCACTGGTTTCTCTGGTCCAGACTCGAGTATTTACAGACAAACACACACAAACACACAAACACACACACACACACACTCCACGTGGGGGCACGCGCACCTGGTGTCCGCGAAAAGTGTAGCCGCATGCTATATGCCCTGTTGGTATCACCGTAGACAGTTTTCATACAAAAATGTGTAACTTCGAATATCGTGCTTATTCAAACGAAGCGGTAGTCATGTTTGATGGCGGCTAAAAGAAGTAGTGTTTGATGGTGGTGTATCTGACACAGGTATCATGGCTGCGTTCGGGTGCTTCATTTGCAATATTTCGGTGACTGTTTTCAGTCTAGTGACGTTTTGATTACGTTTGTAATTTGGATTCAAATCCAGTTTTCAAGTATATATACTTTCTTTTCTTTATTATATCTCCTTTCTGTTATGATAAATATCTTGGACCCATCTACCACCATTTTGAACTCGATCGGAAAGATATCCAAAGACATTGTGTCTGTCTGCATGCCAAGTTAGTGATATTCGAGATATAGATAGATGAGTTTCGTTACAAATCCATCGTGACGAATGCTTCATGGGGTCTTATCATAATAGAAATTGAACATAACTCACTGGAAAATCCAGGAAGACATACTATAAAAAAGCAGCATTAGCCTTATCTCCATTTCACATTTTCACAATGACAAACTTGCCCCAAGAATCATGTGAGTGAGCATACTTTTACGCAGTTTTAAGCACTATTCCGAAAACACTATGTACAGCAAGGGGCGGTGGAAATATGGCTATCCCAGCGCCCGGTATATGTGACGTTGCATTAGGTGCTGCATTCACCCCCAGGAACCACTGTCCTGCAGAGGTGCAGTGATAAGGTGACTGTCCGCCTGCGTTTGCAGTGATAGCGTCCTTGTTTTGGCGGTGAATGTAGGTTCTCTGTTAAAAGTCTAGTCATCATTTGTGAAAGACGAACAATATCATTTAAATATTAACATTTCACGAAAGCAAAGGTTTTGATGGTCATTTGCAGAAAGTTTTTAAGTTGCTAGGTTAAACATGAAGAAAGCAAGCAGCGAACCTTTCCACTCGACAATATAGCCTCCGTACTTCTGCTTGATGTGGCAAAATGATTTCACTGTTAAAATACATCGCTAATGAAATATTTCCCTCAAACAAAGCAGTTTTGACAAATTGGATTGTCCTTATTTCATGTGATATTTTTGCGTTTAATGGAGTAAGCCAGATACTTGTACATCTATTTTAGCATTTTGTATGAAGCACTTGTGCTTTTATTCTCCGTCGATATGAATACAGAATTTGTAAAGACTTGCCACGTATAAACGGAAACTGCGGCAAAATGAAAACAGATATAGTTTCGGGTTACTTTTTCACACTTCCTTTGTCAAACGTGTTTAGTATTGTGACTGAATTTAGTCAAACATACCAAATATTCGGATGGGTCTGTGACCCCCGACACTACTCACAGATATTTGTAGTTGACCAACTAATCGGGGACACCAGAAATGGGCTCCACACACTGTACCCATGTGGGGAATCGAACCCGTGTCCTCGGCGTGATGAGCGAACGCTTTAACCGCCAGGATACCCCACCGTCCCAGTGCCGGTGTTGAAGGAAGGCTAAGCACACCCCTAAGTATACACGACCGCCTCCGTGGTGTAGTGGTTAGAGCGTCCGCCCGGAGAGCGGAAGGTCGCGGGTTCGATCCCCGACCGCGCAATACCAAAAGACGTTAAAATATGATACTTGTTGGTCCATGCCTGGCGCTCGGCATTAATGGGTACAACAAGGACTGGTCGGCTCGGAGTCAGTATAATGTGTCTGAGTGGGGTATTCCTGCTTCACTGCGGCATGGTATCTCAGTGGGCTAGCACTATAAAACCAGCTTAAGTCTGGGCTGGTACAAGCAGCCGCACATACACACGCATGCACGTCGTCATATGAGCGAAATATTCTCAAGCACTACGTTAAACCCAATTTCACCTCACCTAAGTATACACACGACGTCATGCGAACTGACTAGCTCTGGTTTACGTTCAGAGGTAAGCGTGTACATCCATGTACCACAATGAGCTTCATATACATTACCGGGCAAGAGAAAGCAAACACTTGGAAATATAATCTTACATGAAATTACAAACATTATCGACACGTTATCTGACAGAAAACATTCGCCGAAACACTGCAAACTCACTGTCTACAAGAGGAAAATGATACGCACATACAATGCATCAGTAGTGAATAAACTTTTGTTTGTTTCATTTTGGACAGCAAACATGGGTGTATACTTTCATTCGCCCTATTGTTCATACAGAACATTAACCTTTTCAAATTAATTCGAGGTGAATATGACTTCAGTGACACGTACAGTGGCACGATGACCAGGTGTATTACTCACATAATACATCACTTGGTGGGTAAATGAAGAAAAAACCTTGTATTGCAGAAAGCCGATATGAATGTTATGTACCCTCACCATGTTTACATGTTAAGCAATGGTCACCGAAGTGAAATGAATCCTGCTGTGCAAATTGTGCAAATTGTGCATGTATATGTGCAAGCATTGGCATGAGCTTTTTTCAAATGGGCTCGTAGGGAATCGCGCGACAAGTACACTTTCGCACACTTCACCAAGAAACGTTTTCCGTTCATGCTTTTGCTTGTGTGATTTTAGTTTATCTTTGTCGATGTACGCCCTGTCACATAAATGATTAAATCACATTTAGATGATGTTTGGTGACACCTGATATGCCGTTGCATGGACGAAGAACGTTTGGTACTGTATTTACGAATACTGCAATAAGAAGTTGTGCTTGATGAAGGCCGAGAAGCCGAATCGAAAGTTGCGCTTGATTGGTTCGTTGTTGTTTAACGCCGTACCCAGCAGTTTTCCAGCTATATGGCGGCGGATTGTAAATAATCGAGTCTGGACCAGACAATCCGGTGATCAACAGCATGAGAATCGATCTACGCAATTGGGATACGATGACGTCAACCAAGTCAGCGTGCCTGACCACCCGATCCCGTTAGTCGCCTCTTACGATAAGCATGTGCTACTGAAGACCAATTCTAACCCGGATCTTCTCGGGTAAGTTGCGCTTGAAGTGCTTTAACGGAACAGTAACTGGGACTTCAATTTCTGATCCTATGCTAATAAAGCTTAGATCCAAACGGTCTATTTCAGTCATCTTCTCTTCTACAGGCCCATGCTCATGTTTGAAACGACTGTACTATACCGATCACTGCAAGAAAAAAATACGATCACTGCAAGCATAGTGGGTGTACAGTCATTGGACCCCGATCACTTCACGATCACATTTAGACAGATTATATGAATACCATGCATTCAACTGAGCAAAGGCTTCACATATATATGTGGAAAAGTGTATCATTAACAATATCTGCACATAGAAATACTGTAAAATCAAACCATTTGGTATTAAACTTAGTATTTGTGTACATGAAAAGGTATGTTCTGCCGATAATCGCTGATTGCTTTCTTCATGTTTAACCTAGCACCTTATAACTTTCTGCAAATAACCATCAGAACCTTTGCATTCGTGAAATGTTAAAATATAAATGATATTGTTCGTCTTTCACAAATGATGTCTAGATTTTTAACACCGAACCTATATTCACCGCCAAACAAGCACGCTATCACTGCAAACGCAGACGGACAGTCACCCTATCACTGCACTCTGCAGGACAGTGGTTCCAGGGGGTGCATTGCTGTTGAATTGTCAATATCACGGACGGGGACACCAGAAATTGGCCTCGCGCATTGTACCCATGTGTAGAATCAAACCCGGGTCTCCGGCGCGACGAGCAAACGATTTACCACTAGGCTACCCTACCGAACCGCCCCCGGGTAAGAACGGGTCCTTGGGCTGAGACGGAAATGAGAGGTATGGTTGTTTTAGATATATGATAAACAGACAAAGTCTTCATCACAACGGTGTTCATAAAGCAACCTTGTCTTTAACTGTTACGCGGCGCGCTAAATCAAACTGTGCCATTTATTGTGACAATGTCTGTTACCAGTTCTGCGTGATATTTTATTTACTTACATGCAGATATAATAGTTATTGCTTAAATATATTAAATGAAATATTATAGTACTATACCTTAATGGAATACTATCAACGTAATACCGTTTTAATGTCTTTTCAAAGTTTTCAAAGTCATCGCGACTCTGCTGTAACCCTCTTATCTCACGCAAAAGTCATTTCTCCCGCCATTGAATCATAGCAAGTTAACCAATCAGAAACCGTAGATTGTGAAAATATGTGACTTTGACCAATGAAATAACTTGGCTGGATGTTGTGCTTCGATTGCCACTCGCTGGACTGTTGTCCTAGTTTTAGTGTATTTCAAAGTGTCTACAAATTAAAATGCATTCGTATTATTTAAGTATAAAGGTACAGTGCTAAAATTCATTCCATATTCTATCATATATATGATTATGAAAATTCATAAACACTTCTAGACTGATGAAATTAAGCGTTTTATGAGACATGTCCGATCATGGCCATGTTACTATATTTAGATTTGATCAGTGTTGAGTTATAGAGTGGGGTCTGCGATCTGTAGCTCAAGGGCTGGCCTTCCATGTACCGGCACTACTTACGACTAGTCAGCCTCATGTTGTTTTAGTTAACGTGAATTATGGCTGACGAAAATTCGTTTTGGGACATTGATAATGGTCTGGTTTTGTCACAACATGGCCGTAAGTGTGATTTCGTAGCGTCCTGAAGCTTTCGATGGCGATAGCCAAATTTTCATTTTCTCTGCGGAAGGATCTATGGTATACATACGCGCTCATGATTAAACCAATTCTAAGAATATATATTGCTTTATTCTGATATTTTATATAGATTTAACTCAATCTCTAAGTTATATGCTTCAATTAAGGCAAGTAATCGCTCCGGAGAAACCAAGATGGTAGAGCGATAGCAGGACAGAAATACTGCGAACCGCATATCACCTCTACTGTAGGGCTTTGTTCGCTGTTAATAAATAATCTGCATACTTCACACGCAGCCCTCTTGGTCGGCCATTTTGTGGCAGCCATTTGCAATGGAAAATAATTTCTAAATTGGAATTTACAGGCATGATTTGTCAAATATGTAAAGGTAAGATATGTTTTGGGTCCACGGATTATTCAAGAAATCATTACACGGCCTTTTTTCGCTGAACGGGCACCTGTTAGGGAGAAAGCGACGTCCTAACGTGTGCTGTCAAACAATATTTTCAATACTATTTTTGACGATATTTTATTGTTTTTAATTAAATAAGTTCAAATTTAACCTCTTTTTGGATCGGGAAATATAGATAAATAAAGTATCTTTTAATGTACTTCTTTCAATAGGGGAATAACGCGTTAAAAAGGTTTAATTTTGGAATCGATTGCGGGTAGGGATTTTCGGTAAAAAACATCAATTTTTCTTCTATCGATACTGAATGATTACAAATTGGTGTCATCACGTACTTTAATAATTATGATTAACATTCAATATTTTAGATTTTAGGAGTGGAATGATGCCCTCTGATAGGCAATTGTTAACTTTCTATATCAACTTCCGCGTTCCCGAACTATGACAACAAATGCTTCGGATACCAACGTTTTGGTCAAAATAATTTTTCAATCCTTCATGAGACACTCGTAATCTATCATATTGCTTTACTAAATTGTTACATTATCTCCAGATGGTGTATATTAAAGCATTGCCATGTTGATTACGGCACGAAACAGCATGTTAATTAATGAAGAGTTCAAATTAGTGCAAAATGTCTCCAGTATTGTGTTCTGACGAATATGTTGAAAACAATATTTATTACTTCTAGGATATGTGGTGATAAATATTGTTGAAGATAATATATATTGAGTGATATAAACGTTTGATTGAAAATATATTCAAAAGGACATAGATCCAATAAAATAGGTTTCATTGTGCCTCATGGGTAGACAATATGTGAGGAGTTGCCACATCTTTAGTAGCATGAACGTTTTGCTTAGATTATATAGTTTTGTCAGATGTACTCCTGGCCTGATTAGACTGGATGTCATCAAACTCTTCATTATTCTGTAATTAATGATTAAGATTTTCTGACCTAGAATTTCTCTGGAAGAGCAGAACACTGCCTTGTTTCAGAAATATGATGGACCCATATTGCTCAGAATTGATACTGCCTTTGCTACAATTTTAGTCTACAGTCTTATGATATAGAGAAAATGACTTTCCTACCAGTACTGTGAATAAAATATAACAAGTTACACTTGCAGTCCTTGATGCTGTTTACTATGCTTTCCGATCTATGAGGTCCTACCTTGTCATAAGTTGAAACTGGTTTCTGCTTTGATCCGTGGACTGATTCGATTCAGATTTCCGTCAACACATCTTTACACACTCAAAGTTGCATGAAGACTTATAAGTATGTAAATATTAGCATTGCAGTAAATACATATTAATAAATACATGTCACATATTGTTTTGCAGAATTACATAAATATGTTATACAGCTGAGATAGTTAGATGCATGTCATAACATGCAAGTTAAATAAATTACTACTGTCTTCATTCAAATTCTCCAAATTAAGGAAAATTCCACAGTGTTCATTCAGTACTTGATAATGCAAATACATAGCCTACTTAACAGAAAATATGTGTGTCATTGAGTGAATATGATAATTTATAGAATAATTGATAGCAAAACCATACCCAGAAATTGAGTCATCATTTATTTCATCTGCCTGATTTTAAACACTGCCTTGTAAGTTCATCAAATTTGAAAGAATAAAGTCTGAGACTTCTATAGTGTTAATCATTAGTCCATGTTTGTTAAGATGTCTTCCTAAAACTTTTTATGAATAATAGCCCAATTGGTTTTGGTAGAGAATAGCAGCAGTGACTGGATCTTATTGCTGCTCCTTGTAAATGATTTTGATATTGACTTGTCACTACAAAGAGCTAAATTCTAGTCAAGATTGTCAGCCCACTGATTACACCTTTAAATATTGCAGTCATCATTTTTATTGAATGGAGTGTCTTTTTCTTTTGACATCATTGACAATGACATATTTAGTCTCTCTAAATGTCATTGTCATGATCTTTTTAAGAGATAATAATGCTGAGACATCTTCTGTTTGTTTTTTCAGGAGGGCTTGGTAAAGGCCTTCAGCAAGTCTAACCGATGTGTCTGTCCTTGCATGCGATGTATGAAGGCAAGAATATCCACTATTCTGCAGTTGACAACAAACCATTATGTTCCTTCAGTGCCAAACTATGCAATCAGAGAAGACTAAATGGCTACGCATTTTGTGTGCGGCATATCCTTGAAGATCCAACTGCACCATTCAAAAGATGTGCATATGTTGCCAAGTCAAGCAATCAGATGTGTACCCAACCAATTCCGAAACATGAGGAAAGATTGTAAGTTTTATTTGACAGTATTGTTTGAATATATATGGTTTGGGGCCTATAAGGACATAAATAATTATCAAATGGTGAAGTTCATGTTTATCATAGGTCAGGTTCAACATTGGTTAGTAAGATAGATAATATTTATACTCAACAAAAAAAGTTCAGGGCCACCCCAATATTCAATATTTAAGTATTATATGGATCATAAAATGAACTATTAAATACTTATATATTGAAAAATGGTGTGGTCCTTAACTTTTTTCTGGTGGAGTATATTTTGTTTCGGTACAACCCACCCTAGTCCATGTCCTGCATGGTGTTAAAATATGAGATATCTTTACAATTAGCAAGTCCAAAGTGACACAGATGCCCACCAAATTTAAACTCGTCTGAGGGATAGATGTTTTTCCCATAAGTTGGAAGCCATTCAGAAAGATCTCTTTCTCAGGAAATGTAGCATAATTTATCATCAGACATGTAAGATATTTTTTAAAGTACCCATCCCTACAGTTGTGATGGAAGAACTACTTACTCATCATACACCATGTCGGTAACTCTCACTTGCTGTCAATACATGAGCTTTGATTGATTTATCTTTCAGATACTGCAACAATCACATGCAGGTGCTTGGTATGCTTCCAAGAAAAGAGCGCAAGCCAAAGAAAGACAAAGATGTTAATGTTGTTCATCATGACAACAGACTGTCATTTGAAGACAGGGTCAAATCTAAGTACATCACCAAAATCAAAAATGATGTTTCAACGAAACAACTGTCAGTGGATGACCCTGATGATCCCTACGCATTTCCAGATCCAGTGCGGGATACACCGGTTGTCAACAATATCAATCCACAACCATCACAGACTCTTGAGGTACCTAAACAGCCTCAACCGAGCCCCAACAGGGCAAAATCTCCAGGTGATGGGGGATCTACAATTGCTAAACTCTACCCGGAGCTTGCAGAGAAACTGGAAAAGATCAAACCTAAAGTTGAGCCCAAAGTTAAAGGGCGATGAATACAAAGTTCGAGAACAATGAACAAATTGCAAACCAAAATTGCACAAAATAAGATCAAGGACAAACTACGAAAATCTCAGGAGTCAGGCTCGAATCCTTCAGTGAGTCCTGTGTCATTACCAAGTCCAGATCCTACTCCTGTTGCAAGTCAACCTCCAGTGAATTTAAACACAGGACAGCAAGTCAATCCTCCCCCTCTCATGAGACCTGAAGGTGCTCCTCATCCTCCACTCAAGCCACCCATTACCCATCATGCCCTACCAACAAATACTGTAGGATTGTCAGAGGTTAATTATTCAGTATCGGCTCTGGCTGCAAGACTTTCACCTCAAATATTACCACCTCCATATCCTGGTCCAACAAATCGGTTACCAGCACCACCACCACTAACAGCACCACCGGCAATATTGCCGATTCCATCTGTTGTACAACAACAACCAGCACCTGCACCGGTACCGGTACCTGCACCGGTCTCTGTACCTGTTCCTGTGTCTGTACCCATACCTGTACCCATACCAGTACCTGTACCACAGACTTCAATGGTGATGCCTCCAGCACCAAACCCAGAGCCTCGCTTACCTCCCCCTTCCCCATATGTGGCACCACCAAGACCACCAACTGTGTCAATGAATTCTAGTGTACCAGTATTATCTACAAAACCTCAGCGATTAAAAGATGTTGTTGTTGAAAATGTTGGAAGAACTAAGTTAAAAACAAACTCTGCTACGAACTTCTATGCTTGTTACGCAAAGCGGAAAAAGTACAACCATCATCTTGTCAGCTCAGGTAAGCAATTTTTGTGCAGTACAATTGATACTGTTTATGCAGTTTTTTTTGTCAATATGTGATGAACCATTTGGGTTATCACTGTACACAGAGGAGAAGTATCCATTTTCATAGTAGGTATGTGCTGGAATTAATTTATACAGTGGTTTGTACTAAACACAAGTCACAATTTAAGTAGTCTTTTGTTTCAGCCGTGTCACCAGGTGTGTAGATATGTGTCAATTTGTCAGTTTCGCTGTTTGATGTGATTCACTGTTTGGATCATCAAAGTTGCACACTTTCTACTTTCGATTTTGTTTGGCTCCTTGGAAAAGTTCTGTTGAATATAGAAATTATGGAATGAGCTTACATCAGATTGTAATATGAAGAAAGAAAATATGCATTATGCTCATGTAGTATGTTTTCAAAGTCTACACATCATGCATTTTTGTCTGCAACGTGGTCATATATTGTGTACAGCAAAGCCATTTCTTTACTGTCATACATAGGAGGGTTGACCTTGGAATTTTTGAGTGGTGAAATTTCATTGTTTAAGTTCATTATGACACAGGCAGTGGTGACATGCATCAGGATGGGTGTCATGTAAATTTTACTCATAAACACTTTATTTGTTTAATACACAAATAGACTTTAGATCCTTTCACCTGTTCTTATTTTATGCTGTCACTGTTTGACTTTATTATGGCTGATGAAGTATGAAGTTTTAACCATGTGACTGAACTGTCATATTTGGTTTGGAGTTGGTAAAAGTCAATTTAGATCATGCAGTGTTCACGAATGGTGTAACAGGACATTGGGTCCTCTAAGTTTCAGATGTCTGTCTGACCCATTGAAAATTCACAGGACCCATAGAATAAAATTAAACACACATTTCAGATTTAACATTTCCTATAATTGGCATTGAAATTATTAACAAACATAAGATTTATAAACAGCAAACAAGTGTCACATGTCACATATATCAACTTCAGCCAAAGTCATTGTGAAATATACAGTCAGACACTGGGGCTGGCGGGTTGTAGACTTCTGTCGGACTGTTGGCGGATCTGCCGGATTTGTCAGAGGGTCCGACGATATTCGTGAACACTGGATCATGGTGCATTTTGACCTTGAGGGCTTTAATATATTACTTGTTGGTTCTTATGAATGTCATCAATGCATTAACATAAACTTAAATGTTTTAGAGAATTACCAGGCCTGTCATGCTTATTAAATATTTTGTTGGAGCACTGTCACTGTCAGTGCACAGAATCTGAGGATGAGTCAAGCTCAGACTCCAATGAAACTAATGACGCAAGAACAAAACATCTCCAGGGGAGATTATCATCATAATGTGCCCCAGTAGTCTGTTTGGTGTACCACTAGGTGGAGTAAGTGGATGTGGTGGAAATTGAAAAATATTTTGGATATTTTTTATTCTTATGCATGTTATTGTGAATGTGAGCCCTTTTCAGCCTCTACCTTGAACTAGAGTTTAGATTAGTTGATTGGATATTCTCACTGACCTATACTGTGCAGGGATTTACGGGATGCAAATTTCTGTGTCCAAAACGCATAAAATATTACAATGGACGCGACGAAATTTATTAGTGCATCCACAGGACGCAGAAAAAGTCTGAATATTTTTTGTAAAAATTCCAATCAAGTAACACTAAGTTATCACTGAGTTTGCTACTAGCTGAGTTATGGTATCATTTGCAGTTTGATTACTGTAACAATTTAAGTGATGATCATGATATACAATACAATAACAGTATTAATAACAATATTTAAGTGTCTGGGACCCCCATTTTGTTGTCCAGGACCCTTGAAAATTAAGAGTAAGAGTCCCAGGGACCCTCAAATACAGGACTCAAGGTATATCCCTGATACTGTTTATCAGCTTGTGAGAAAACCTTAAAAGAAGCCTTGTGTAAACAACATAATGACTAGAACAGTCCCTTCAGTGTAGAAATAGTAGTAAAAATCCATACAGTGATAAAAAATCAGTTAAATAGGATTATTCAATGTATTTTCCATGTTTTTCATCATAATTGCACTATCAAGGATATCACCACGGCAAATAAGACATCATTAGAACTTGTTTTTTCCATTTGGAAAAACTATCATTTCTATAAATGTTTAGGATCACATTCATGAAAACCAGGTCATAAAATAAAAGTGGAGCAGATTTTGTTACTGCCTAGTAAGCTAAGTTAATAACTGTCCTTTTATGAACACTAAACCCAGGTGAAAATAGTACCAATATGTAAGGCATTTAGAACTTGTGTCCAGATTTGATTACATGTATTTACATTTTACAGGCCATCATCATTTAGCAGGGATATTGCAGAATCAAACAAGGAGCACTATCGCCTAAGATTTGATATAAATTTAAGTAGTGCACAGTTAATACAAGATAGATTTTTTATTTTTGGGTAAAGTGCAATCATTAGACTGCCCTGAAAAGCTCATTTCCCAAAGATGTTTGATATACTTTTGCATTTCTCAACATTTCTCTGATTTATGTTTGTCTCATACATTATGAAAGTTTAACATGCTCTTCAGATAGCACATGTTTTCTTGATTGGCCACAACATGTTCTTTAATATCCTATCTTGATTTGCAGGATTGTGCAGCTCATCTGAAGATGAGAGTGATGATGAAAATGTTGAGATGTTGCCTTGGCAACCTGGATGGTTCTCTGCATCGTCTGATGATGATAATGAAGAAGAGTAAGTACAATTTGCAAAAAAGGGTTTTGTTGTTTTAACCTGTTGGACCAAAGTTGCTTGTGTTTCAATTTCATGTGTTGTACGAGTAATACCTTGCGACTTGGCGTGTGTATTGGGGTTGAATCAGAAAGGATGTAGGTAAGCATGTATCCAGCAACTGTAGCCATATAGATGTCTGCTGATATTATTACCAAGATGATCTTTTTTTTTTTCCAAAAGAGGTATATTTATCTTATTCAGTTATTCTATGTGCATGGAATATGAAAGGCATATAGGAAATCGGGTTATTGCCAGAAAATGTGAGTTAGTTTGTTTTCCGCCACCTTTTGCAGTAATACTGCAATGTCACACCAGGGGAGGGGGCACCAGAAGAGGGCTCCACACATTGTACACATGTTGGGAATCAAACCTGGTTCTTCAACCTGTAAAGTATACACTTTAACCACTAGGCTACTCCATCACCCCTGCTTGATAAATGTATGAATTTACAATGCCTTTTAGAAAGTGGTCAGGTGCAGCATGTTTGGGATTATACTTCTAGTAGGGTACAAATTCTAGTACTTTCAGGATTGAGTCCACTCCAGATTTTTGGGACTCATATTTTTGGAGCACGTGATTGCCAACACACAGAGTCAGTGATCTGATTTTCATTTTATATTCTTTCTCATAATGACAAGTTAGACTTATGCTTATTTTGCTCATTACAGAACTCCAAAACGATTGAATATTTCTGTATGAATCTTACCATACAGTTCAGTATGTACTGGTGCCCTTTGAGAATTTGAGAGTTGTATTTTATTTGTGAGTTTGTTTTCATGACAAGTTGGATTTTACTGAAAATTAGGTTGGTACTTTTTCTAGAGCATGAACTAGTGTTGGAATATTGTAAAATACTGAACCGCATAATTATTTTCTTTAGTGAAATGAACGTAGCAATTGGTAATGAACCAAAAGTTGGGTATAGGTAGGCAAACTCCATTTCTGAATTGGACATGACCAGGGGATGTGTCATAATGATGATGATTTGGAGATTTAATGCCTATTTCACACACAGGACATGTCATGTCCTGACTCTTGTTTATATATAAGCAGACAATTCATAGCTCACCTGAAGTAAGGGCTTCAAATGGCAGTGCATTCTGAGTACGTCTTTTCTCTTTGTTTCTCTTTGTGAGAATACAGTGACTAGTGACACAGAAACAATGATTGTACTGTGTACACTCGTTAATGAGTTGCCTAATTGTGTAGATCGATGCTCATGCTGTTGAGCTTTGGATTGTCTGGTCCAGACTCGATTATTTACAGACTGCCGCCATATAACTGGAATATTGCTGAGTGCGGCGTTAATCAACAAACTAACCAACCAATGTTAATGAGTTGACTAGTTGATAACATGTCCGGAGTCATGTTCATCCTTGAAACCCATTATTATCCCCCGCCTCGCGTTTAGCGCGAAGAGGGGGATATAGTTTTAGGGTATGTACGGACGGACGGACGGAGCCTAATACTATATTCCCCGCTTTCGCTAAACGTGCGGCGGGGGGATAATAATGGAATTGGAATATCTTAAGAACCGTTGACTAGATTCTTTTCATATTTGGTACCTAGGTTCATCACAGTATAAGAAAGGTCCAAGTTAGGTTTGGTGACCGTGACCTTCATTTCAAGGTCACAAGGGGACTTTAAAATTTTACCTGCATGTTAAGCTATCTGAAGAACCGTTCACTGGATTTTCTTCATATTTGAAACCAAGCTTTATCTAGGGAAGGCGCAGGGCCCAGTCGATTTTGGTGACCTTCACATAATTGTCAAGGTCATGGCGACACTTTGAAGATTTCAGCATGTAAACCTGCATGTTAAGGTATCTCATGAACTGTTCACTGGATTTTCTTCACATTTGAAACCAAGCTTTATCTAGGGATTGCACAGGGCCCAGTCAATTATGGTGACCTTCACTTAATTTTCAAGGTCACGGAGACACTTTGAAGATTTCAGCATGTTAACCTGAATTGTCAGCAAGATATTTCAAGAACGGTTCACTGGATTTTCTTCATAGACTTTCAAAACTTCCCTTGAATGTTTTTCAATAAGCAATTTCTTTAGTACTATTTTTGCATATTTCATACACTATGACATTCATGTCAAGGTCAAAGTCAGTCTTGAAAATATTCATACACTATGACATTCATGTCAAGGTCAAAGTCAGTCTTGAAAATATGTGCGTGTTTGAACACCTAAAGAGCAAGATATCAAGAGAGGTTGACTGGTCATGTTTTTGTTGACATTCAACTTAAACTTTAACTTACTTTATAAGTTTGATTTGATAATTTGCGGCGGGGGATTATGTCACCTTAGTGACAATGCTTGTTCACTTTCAGATACTCAACTCACACTCATCCTTGGCTAAGGACCATGAGGAATCTTCAGTCATAAGAAGATTATGCATAAATATTTTTGCATTGCTTCTTTTCAGACAAATGGGTGAGCTACCAATCCATGTGCGGGCAACAAAGTTGACTTTATTGCGAGCAAAGCTACGTCGTCAGTGCTATCAGACAAGGAAGGCAACATGTACCAATACATCATTGCAGAACTATGATAATGAAGCTACTCTAGCTTTAATCAATAGTGCTCGTGAAAGTCCTATGTCAACTGTCAAAACTTTGTGGGAAATACTAAAAATTCCCCAGAAACAGGCAGACAGGTTTGTAATTTTTTATCTGTAATTTAATTTCATAGAAAACAGTTATGAGGAATAAGTCATTGTGCTTAAACGTTAAGCTATTTTTTAAGAATTCTTGTTTTGAGAGAAATATTCACAGTACACAGTTCTATTAAATATTTAAAGATTTGACTGTTACATTTCCTCTCAGGTTTGCATCATTGTCCAATATGGCAAAAAATTCTTATTCTCCCCAGATTTTTTGTGATTTTAACCAATGATAAACATTGGCCTTTTTTATTACATTTTCAGATATAAGCGGAGAGGGCTTGATCGTAGACCCTGTCTGTACAGGAATGATGAAGATGACAAATGTCTTCAGAGGGCTTTACCTTACACAAACCACTGTCTAAAGCGTATCCTTTCATCATTTGCACTCCATTTGTGTGCCCTAGTAATGTTTTGATACCGTGCTGACCAACTGATTGAATAATCAGGAAAATCCAAATGATTATCAATATAGAACAGTGTTAGCATTTACACAGAACGTCACATCTGTTGCAGTAAAGAAGTTGTCTATCTGTAAAAAGTGTTCCTCTTCATCATGACCATTGATCTACACAAATAATATGTGATTACTGGTACATGTGCTTCATTCAAATCAGTGCATCTGACACCCATTCCAGTTAGTCACCTATTATGACAAGTATAGTTGTTTATGTCACTTCAAAAGTTACTGAAATCTTAGGATAGAAATTGCTTTTAAAGAAGCAAAAAGATTTTACTTGATAAGTGCTCTTCAGCATTTCTGGAATATTTAAGCTTTTATTTATGTTAAAACAAACAAAACATAAATTTACTGATAAAACAACACACCAAATAACCCAACCCGCTGTGACTTCCTACAACAGTGTAATTGTTCAGTTTGGACTTTGTAACTAGATTCTCCATGTTGGTACAAATGTACGCAAAGGTCAGATGGTTCCATAAACAGAAACTTACTGTTGTTGACAAGTATAGTTCCCACATATGACTGATTAATATATTTGAATGGTTGACGTATTTATGTTAATTTACATCTAAACTTAATGTTACCATTTACCAGTAATAAATCCTTATATTCATGTCTGTATTTTACTTAACCATTTTAAGATATCATGTACAATGTTGACCAGCAGCTGTTTGATTACTGCACAGCCAAGTTTGCAGATAATACACAGTGCTGTGTTCCAGTCTTTGACATCAGGCATGGCTTGCCTCTCTGTGCAGAACATGGAGCTAAAGTTGTAAGTATAATAAACTGATGGTTATATGATAATGTTTTTGGTCAAAATGTGTATAACTTCAATTATTACTAATTAAAATTAGTCAAAATTAGTAGTCCCTTTGATTTTGTTTTAACAATAGTTTACTTTACTAATTTGGTAAGTTAGTTTAGCCTTCCAGCCTTCACAATCTGTTTGACATGTACAATCACCATACCTAATTTCTTTAAGATGACAGGGTGTTTCATTTATTAACTACATTAGGAGAATTTGGACAAATATTTTCTATGATGTATCATTGCAACAAATTACTTTATAATGCTGTATACATTAAATCATGCAAGTGTTCTTTTTTGTTAATTTTTACCTTTGCTTCAGACTAAGTCAAGTATATGTGACACAATGAGGCTATTCTCATTATTGTCATAGGTATTACATTGTTGAATATGGGGAATATATAATTTCATATTAAACAAGAAGAATTCCAAAGAAAGCTTTTCCATATAAGAATGTTTGTTCCCTAAGGATAATCACCAGAAATCAGGAGATATCGACATCAAGAAACGTCCTAGAAAGAAAACAAAACCTCCAGCACTTACAAGACCACCAAAGAAAGGAAAGAAGAAAAAGAAGAATCGATATATCCGTCCACAGAAGCCCATTCCACCTGCAGAGCCAACTGGAGATCCCGGTGCATTTGGTAGGAAAATAGTTTTTAACATGCATTCAGTGCATGGTTCTTGAAACCGATAAATATGCAAAATGATTATAACTTCAGCAATTTCTTATGAAGATGTGACCAAATGTTATGTATCAGCCTGTGACAGTCAATTAGCACAAACATTTATTTTGACATTATTTTTAGTAGATTTTAGTAGATCTGTGTATATTTGTATAAGCTGATGTTACTAATCCAGAAAGTATTTACAAGAATGTCTGCAGACTTGAAGCTTGAAATGCTGATTATAACAGGAGGATCACACAGATACCAACATAGCTGCTCGTTGATATCATTTATTCACACTTTGTTTGACTACTAAAGGTTGAATTAAGATCCAACCTAGATAAAAATAAATACTTAAATATTGACAGACAATAGTCACAACCCAAAGGTCACAACAAGAATCTGACTCTAGGTCAAATCCCTGGTTTTCTCTGACACGGTGCTTGTTTACTCTATCTGTATTGACTTACAGTGGTCATAATCCTGTGAGCAGTTTGTTGAACAAGGCCTAGGACTCACAACATATGACTTCTATTAAATCAACATTCACTTCACACGTAAAGTTATGGCATAAAATTCCTCTTTTCCAGCAGCTGTAGTAGCAGCCCCTTCACTGGCTGTTGCAGAGAATGAGGAAGAGGATAGTTCTGATGGTGAGAAAGATGAAGAACAATCAACATCTGCATCAGTGGACCACTCCATCACAGAATCTTCCTCATCAGGGCCAGCACAAGTGGCTGAAAAAATGGAGACAGAAGACTCGGAGGAACCATCAAAGAATGATGAGGACAAGGATGAAGAGGATGAGGAGGAGGAAGATGAGGATGAGGAGGAAGACAAAGAGGAAATGGAACCTGAAGGTGCTCTCAGCAATGTGCCGCTTGAAGAAATGTTACCAGCATCAGGGAGGATAGAAGGTGAAGGATCAGCCATATTCCTTTATAATAAGAATAACATACGAAAACTTTAAAGGCACAGACTTCAAGTAAAACAAGATGACTAGGAACGGAATAAATCATCTTTGTTTTAAACTAAAATGATTATGGTATAGTTGATAAGACAATATATTTATCATTTGAACTTAAAGAGTGTTGTTCACTGATATCCTAATGTGAATTTGATATCCTTCTTAGCATAGAAGCATGCTTAAAATAATGGTAAATGTACTTTTAGCGTATTAGAACCATTTTTAACTGGTATAAATGTACCACAAGTTGTAGCCCAATTAAGTGTGGTCGACTAAAAGTAACAACATAATCATTTTGTTGATACATTATGATTGGTACAGTTGACAAGAACATTAATGTACGGTAAAATATATTTTGCCATGACAAATGTAATCAATCTTCTGATTGACTCTGGTCCCTCCGTTATGTGGTCTCTGTGACAAACCTGGTATACGCTAGTGGTGCAGATTAAGAGGGCTTCCCAGCTATATTACTGCTGGTGGTAAAACTCCCAAATATCTTTCACATTTTGTGTGCTTGGGGAACTGCTGATAAAATGTTAAACAATAATCACTTAGTCCTAATTGCATAATGTTTCTTTCAGATATTGACAAGACCTTTGAATTGCCTCTGGAGCAGGCCTCCAGACTTTTAGAAGAACAGGACTTTCAGGATGTGTTCAACAAAATTCCAGATGAAGCTTTTGATATTTTCTCAGGTTTGTTAGTTTCTGCAATTATATCATTATCCCCGTCACGAAGTGGGAGGGGGATATAGGTTTGACCTTCGGCCGTCTGAGATGATGGGGACGGATTTTCTCAGAAACCGTTATAGCATGGGAAACCAAATTTGGTATGTGTTTTCAGGACATGAATACCTTGATGGACTTCTAAAATGGAAACCGTGTTACAATTTGTTACAGAGTTATGGCCCTTGTCATGCGTTTCTTGACTTGGTACACTGTATCTACAATGGAGAAAGATTTTCTCAGAAACCGTTATAGCTAGGGAAACCAAATTTGGTATGTATTTTCAGGACATGAATGCCTTGATAGAGTTCGAAACCGGAAACTGTTACAATTTGTTACAGAGTTATGGCCCTTGTCATGCGTTTCTTGACTTATCATGGTATCCCCAATTGGGACAGATTTTCTCAGAAACTGCTGTAGATGGGGAAACCAAATTTGGTATGTGTTTTCAGGACATGAATGCCTTGATAGTGTTTGAAACCGGAAACTGTGTTACAATTTGTTACAGAGTTATGGCCCTTGTCATGTGTTTCTTGACTTATCACAGTATCCCCAATGGGAATATCTTAAGAACCGTTGACTAGATTCTTTTCATATTTGGTACCTAGGTTCATCACAGTATAAGAAAGGTCCAAGTCAGGTTTGGTGACCGTGACCTTCATTTCAAGGTCACAATGGGACTTTAACGTTTTACCTGCATGTTAAGCTATCTCAAGAACCATTCACTGGATTTTCTTCATATTCTATACCAAGCTTTGTCTAGGGAAGGCGCAGGGCCCAGTCGATTTTGGTGACCTTCACATAATTTTCAAGGTCATGGCGACACTTTGAAGATTTCAATATGTTAGCCTGCACGTTAAGCTATCTCAAGAACCGTTCACTGGATTTTCTTCATATTCAACACCAAGCTTTATCTAGGGAAGGTGCAGGGCCCATTCAATTTTGTTTGTAATGCTTGTTTGTAATAGAATATAACATTTACATTGTCTTCTTAAATATAACTTTAATTAACATGTTTTGTTTAAATTTCAGGTAAAAATGGTGATTTTGTTCCTACACTGCAAGAAACTGAGGAGCTAGAACGAGCTCTTGCTGCAGCAACAAAAGATGTGTATTCAGCCAAAGACACACTTGAGAAGTTAGTGAAAGGTGAAATTACTGATGAACTCAGTTTGCAGACTATTGCAGAGACCATATTGGCTCATGGTATGCAGAATAATGCTGTGGAAGCAACTTTAGGAGGGGAAGCAGTCACGCCAGATCTTCTTCAAGAAGGACTATATGCTTTGTCTCGGAATCTCACTACTGGAGGAAATGCTGGTTTTACTCCTACAACTGCATCTGCATCTGCCAATAATGCTATATTGAGTAGGCTTCAAGCTGGTGTGTCATATTCCCAGAACCAATCTGTGACCGTTCCATTTAATGGCGCTGTGACTTCTGGTAATAGTTCTGGAGTAGGGCAGTCTACAAACATTGCACAGTTGGCGCCCAGTTTCCAGAATACTACAGTCAGTGCTCAGAACATTGGTACCACTCTACCAAATCGGACAACGATAGCCCCTCAACGGGGCTTCCAAAATTCTCAGGGTGTGGCACATGCTGGTTATCATGGAAACCTGCCTTATTCAGCACTTTCTCAACAATTAGCAATGTCTCAGCAGACTCCAAAAGGACAGGCAATAGCAAGCCCAGCTTCAGTGGGGCAGCTGCATATAGACTCATCACATGTCCTTCCCCATTCAAACTTGCCACAACAACAGCCAATCCACTCACAAACTATCATCCCCTCTCAGCTATCCGGTGCACGACCACCATGGCCTCAGGCTGCAGTGTCCAGCACTAATGTCAATTACCAAAATGGATTCCCAGGACCAGGTGCCCAGGCCCCATTTATACAGACAGTGAACATTGCAAACCCAGTTGGGAAGTTTCCCACAAGTGCTCAAGCTAACATGACAGACTTTGCTAACAAGCAGGACCCACATTTCGTCGCCACGCTACCACATTCCAGAGGGGTTCCCGCCATTCGGCCCCCTGTCCAGGGATTTGGATTTACTTCCGGAATGCCCCCTTTTACCTCCAGTAGCAATGGGTCATAGTAGTGCGCTTCATGCCTGTAGCGGGAATCAAGAGATGTTTCTGGTCAAAACACTTGGGTGTTGAAACTGTTCGATTTAGTTTAAGTCACTTTCATGGTTTATTCTTACATCATAAGAGGAATATATGAGTTGAAAAATTAATTTAATATTGCATACAAAATGGTAAGTTTGTAGCTAAATTTGAAGCTGTTAAACTCATATTGTTACTTTACCTGAACCTGGAAAATGATTTGTTATCAGACAACTAATGCAAACAGTAAACGTTATTGCCTGTATTTCCCCTTCGTTCTTGTTTGTGTATTTTCTTGCTGTTCCTATGTGCATGCAGAGTATTTGTTTCAGTCTCAGTAGGTGAAATTTTTATTACTCCAATACCAGCCCAAGTGTTTTGACTACCGATATCTTGCATGTCCTTGTTATACGGGTAGAAAATGAAATCCTCAAAAGAGGGTGTGATACTATAATGAGAACACATCTGTGCCTATTTTTTCAGATTTATTTTGTTATAATGTGGTCCATCCATATTATAATATAAGAGAAAGGCAGCCATTAATGTTTTCTTTCTTGTTCTGTGACTGTTGTTGTTTTATGTTACATATATATCAATTTCAGTGGTTGTAGGTAGAATGTATGTATATAAGAGATCTCTAGTAATATTTGTGAGGAATTTTATTCTAGTCGCTTGAACATACTGTACAGGATACAAGGTGGACCGATATGTAAAGAGAGTTGTACAGATGTACAATAGCGAGATTTGTAAATAACTGTAAAGTGTCGTTTAATAACAGTGTTGATACTCTTTCATCTTTTAAATCATTTACAACTCATCCTATATGTCTAGAGCTAAATATTATTTCGGTACAGTTTAAACAGCATTGAATGCCAAGAAGAGAAAATTTCTTATGACACTTAAGTTAGCTGCATTGATTGAGGAGTCCTGCAGTTTGTAATTCACACTTTACTGTTCATGAGAGAGTCGTTTGTAAGCATTTCATCAAGTGATATCTGGACATATTTATTCAGTGATTTATGCATGTTTTGTGTCAATCATAGTTCATGTGATATTTGTGAGATATTGTCAAATATCTGTGTGTTGAAATGTGATAAATTCTCTCACTGCTGTCTTGTGTGCATGTTGATAGTCAACATTCATAATAGTATGTTTTCTTCACCATTATAAGGTTGAAGAAGGAAAACAATTCATTAATACAGATATTAAAGAATGTCTGATTTGAAATGGCAAAGTAAGCACAAAGTAGTTATCTATATTCTAGATATTTCATGTCTGTACCCTGTGGCATCCTTGTTCATTTAATCGCAAATAAGTGCTGTACTTTCCTCTGAATATCAAAGTGGATAAGGGGAGGGAATAGATTAAGATTGAGAATAGGATTAACTGTTACTAAAGGAGACCTGTCTTATCATGGAAAATTTCATTTCTTAAAAAAACAAAAACAATATTTGTTAATTTTCAAGAAGATTATGTTATTGTATGCCTATTTTACAATAGGTTATCTTTCTGAACTGTGAACTTAGTTTTGTTTAGATTTTAGATTGTGAATATAAGTTATTGATTGGAAACTTTGTACTTTGGTTTCCGACTGTTCTCAACTAACAAAAGATATTTGTCTTGGCATTCAGTGTAGTTTAATCTTTACCTTTTCTAGCGACTTTTGTCCTTTCTATCTCTTCCATAGTTAAGCAGATTTACAATTTTTTATCTGTTGTTTAGACCTGTATTTTCATATTGAATGTTTCATCTTGTTCATATGCTCCCATCAGTTTCATGAATGAAAGTTGTTAAGAAGTGAATGAATTTATCAAATGGTAGCAGTGTTTCCTAGATTACATTTGTTTGTAGAAGTCATAGTTGAAAATTTCAATTTGAAAAGCTAGTTTGAGTAGTATCATTTGTAGACATTATATGATTATGATGATGATCGTGTGTTCTGTCTCTTTTGCCAAAATAGGTTGGAGTGATAAGATAATATGATTTATTTGGAAAAATACTCAATAATGATGTTTCTGTAATGTTCTGACATTACATAGAAGTAGATAATCTTGTTACATTCAGGAATAGTATCAGCTGAAGTAAAATTGTCTCTGTTGATATGCATGATGGAAAAGACATACTGCAACCAACTGAATTCCTCTAGGTGTAAACAAAGGTATGACTCATTCATTCGACTGTTATCAAATGTCATTCATTGAAGCTGTCTTGCTACCAAAATTTCTTAAGTGATCTCCAAAATCCATGACAATGATGTGATAACTGTATCCCAAGATTTGAACAATTGTCAGTGTAAGTGATAGGTTTGTGATTATACATAATGTGCAGTTTGGTTATTTGGCTTTTTGCCATATTTATGCCTTCAATCTTATTCTCTAATCATGGTGTTAGATGTGTTTATGACATGTTATAAGTAATGTATTTTTACCCAATTATCAGAGGCAACAACAGTTCAATTTTCATAACCATTTTTCAATATGATAATGTTTCTGAAATGTGTAATCAAGTTTTCTATTCATCATTAACAGGCTGTCTTTTTCTACTAAGATCATTATCGGACATCACTAGTTCCATTATATTGGTTTTCAATTTGCCATCACATAATGAAATAATGCTTTTAAAAAATTGCTGCCGGATAGTTGTTACTTTCAAACAACATAGATACGTTGGGTTGTATTTATTTCATACAGTTGTTATATTTTATGGTGACAGCCATACACACTTTTTGAATAATCTTATCCGATGTCATTTTCTGCAAACTAAAGTGCACCTTTTGCATTTACCATAAATATCGGGATTTTGGTAACAACCAGAACATTTGCAAAAACTGAGACAAATACATTCAAACTTGAGAGCACATGCTCCTTCTTTTGTTTTCCTTTACAGTACAATGGTCTTGTTGCTCTTCTTTGGCATTTTTCTTCCTTCAGTTTCACCATGCTTTTCTTTTAAATATACCAGACCTCAACCTCAACTTTTTGCATGAATTTGCTTTAATTGTAGAGATTGTTGTAGGCACTTACATCAGTGTTCAACCAATAAGTCCAGAATTAGTGAAAATCTTGTCATTCTGATAAAATGGCTGTCACAGTTATTGCAAGTTAGTGGGTATCATTTTGTGAAGGTTTTAAGTTCCTTAGATAATGTCTAAGGCCATAATTTCTTTGCATTTTTTAAGACAATGGTTTTGTGCACTACATCCGCATAGGAAATCAGATAGGACTTTTACTTCAGTCAGCTGTGGAATCATGAACTTGTTTGTTGTCCATTTATAGACCCTTGTTGTTTAGTTTTCAGTGGCCAATATTTCCTTTTCCCTCACAAGAAACACCCTGAACAAATTCTGTTCCTACAGAACTGGGGTAGTTACACACTCACTGGTACAAAGAAGTTGAGGCAATATCTGAAATATTCAATGACATCATTCATGTCTATTTAATGTAATGCAATGATATAAGTGTTCATAAATCGCATGTTAAAATAATGGCTGTTCGCCACGATTATGAAATTGATGTATGATATTTTTGTTGTAGATTTGTTATCTAGATTAGTACAAAGTTTATTTTCTATGATCTGAGCCTCATTACGGTCATGCACGTTATTATCTACCATTAATTAGTGTGAGAGACAAGGATGTGTGTGTATCATTGTGCTTGTGTGATCAGTGGTGCTGTTGTCGACACATCTCCAGGGCGAATATGACAACATTTGTGTAACATTGGAACTGTCACTCCTCAATAACTGTTGTGATGCAATAAAATATAAATACATGATGAGAGTAAGTGTTTCTTGTTTGTTGCCTCTCAGTAAGAAACAACCTGTATTTAGCTGAAAAAAGTGTGTGAATGCTTGCCTCGTATGGTGTACAATATTCTATTCAATATACACTGTTGTCAGTATGACCTGTAAATTAACTCCCAAGTTTATCGAGGTATCACTTGCTCAGCTAAGTTTTACCACATAGCATACTAGTATAAATTTAATTTGAGGAGATTCTGCTGGATAAAGACCATGGGCAGCATCCTGACAACTGTAAACCCTCTTATGACCAACCCCTAACTTTTGCATTTTGAACCACTGGACCATGCCTTTTCTCTGTAATAAGCAGAATGAAAAAAAATCTGCATCATTTATAACCAATTTTATGTTTCAATGTGCTCTCTACATACTTTATGAAGCAGACATAAAATACATATTGGATTATCAGCATCTCTCTTGTTCGGTTGGTAATTCAGGTATTTATCTACAGGTACAAAGATTACATGTTCTATCCCTCTGAAATATGGGTAACAATTGTTCGATTTTACATTAATACCTTTTGAAATTGTTTGTGTATACTACACAGTCCTAGGTGATGGAGAGAACTTAACAGCCTGTGAAGAATTGTCAGTTGATGCAGACACCATATATCTATAATATGGTCTCTGATGGATGTGTGGTTACATTTTTTCAAATCTTTATATTAGGTAAAAATCTTGACATGTCACCTGGTTTGATTTGAATAACCATACTACTTTTGATCAGATCATACACTAATGTTCCAAATATCAGGAGGATATCGTGGGGATAGAAAAGAATGAAAATGTAAATACACCTGAAGCTTTTTGTCTTCAAACCACGAATGAGCAAATCTAAGAATGGTTGCAGCAGTTTTGATACATTCAACACCATGATTAACTATTCCTACAAGTGAGATTTATTTGTTAACCAGCATGGGAAAGCACCATCTTTGAGAATGTTCTGGTATCTGGTATGTTCACGATCCTACAGATACCTACTTTGGTAACTGGTCTGTATAAACACTCCCGAAGGGGTGTCGCATCAGGAATGTCTCAAAACACTAGAATACTGGATGGGTTCCCGATGTATTTGGCCGGCATCCTGCAATTTGAGACAGGGTATCTCGGTGTCCAAGAATGTACTTTGTTTAGTATGTTTGTTTGTAAAGAAGAATGTACTTGCTAGTGCATTTATTGATTTTGTTTAGTATGCTTATTTGTAAAGAATTTTTATTTCTTATTAATCATGACATCCATACTGCATTTAATGAGAAATGAACCACTGTGTGAATTTTTCTCAAAAGGCATATCAGTATTCAAACATTTCAAAAATCAGTATTCATACATTTAATGTGCATGCAGTACCTGAATATTGTATGTAACAAAATTGATTATTCATATAGAGTTTATTTTGTTATGTGACTGTGATAGTGATTAGGACCAAACGTATGAATTTTAGCAACATGGCGAACTTTTTCCCCTGCATCTATCTGACTGTTGTAACAATATAGTCCACTGGTTACAATTTGCTCACTGCATAAAGGTAGCCATTTCTTATTGTCCTGTACTGGTCTTGCTTTCCTTTGGCGTACCATTCTCACGCAGCATCTTCAAGCGTAACTATTGCACTCTTTTTCCTTATACTTGTCGCCTGCAAATTGTGACTCTCACATCTGGTCACACCTGTTTTAACATGGATGGATCAGGCCAGAAGTCTATACCATGTGCCAATCAGACCTTTTATATATCGTACCAGCAGCTTTTTGGGGGTGGGTTAGTGTTTATCCCATATGGACTATCCCTTTTTCTCAGACCAAATCGTGCCTTTCATATCACTTACCTTTTGTGCCTTCTTATCACGGTCTAACCATCGCTTAACATACTTGTTAAAAAACTCTGATAGGGGGTGGGGCTTTCACCCCTGTTTAGCGTGTAGGTTCAGTGTAAGAATCTACACTGAAACTTCACTATTATGTTACCCTTAACAAAGTTATTGCCAATAAATTAAACTGGCTTAAAATCGAAACTCACTCATTTCATCTCTCCTTATGCCTGACCACCTCACTTCGGATACAACACAACATGTCTCTCATCAAATCCATCCTTTAGTTTCCAGTGTATTTATCCCCATATTATCTTGATAAACATGTGTATCTCATATCAGGATCTAGGATTTTGAAGAAGAGGTGGTGCGCATAAATCATGAAGTCCAAAGGTTAGGGGGAAGTGCTCCTCAGGGAAAGTTTTTCCGTTGGGGGAGGGGAAGAGGGAGGAAGGCAACACACACACACTCTCTCACTCTTAATAATATTTTAGTGCGACTTTGGTTTAGTGTCGGGAAGTCTGGACATTAGCATGATAAATTCTTCCATGTTGTTAAAAATTCACTTGTTAATAATGTAATGAAAATTTCATTTACACTCACAGTAGGAGTCGGTACTTCACACTGAAACACCACCACCATCCCAACATACTGCTAAGCTGTATGAGTGTCAAAGGAAACGTATATCAATGTTTATAATATAACAACTGACTATCAGGTCAGCCATGCTAAATAACTATTCCAAGACGTGTTTGTATTGAACATGAACTTCTTGTGTTGTTGGTATGTAAAGTTTGGCATGAAATGCATGTGGACCCGTTTTTTTGTAAATATCTCTTCATCCAATGACCCAATCGATCTAAAACTGTGCAAGTGGATGTTTTGTCAGACAACCTAATCACATTGTAAATCACCGATTTTATGCATTTGTATTAAAGAATCTGTCTATGTAACTGTCAACAAAATAAACAGCAGAAAACAAACTGCTTGCAGAGGGAGGGAGCCAATGACCTGTAACAGCGGCAGTGTTGGGTCATAAAGGTAATAGACCGTTTACAATGTGATTAGGTTGTCTGACAAAACATCCACTTGCACAGTTTTAGATCGATTGGGTCATTGGATGAAGAGATATTTACAAAAAAACGGGTCCACATGCATTTCATGACAAACTATAGTCACTACTCACAGTCTACAAGTGAATGATTTTCATATAATTTAGTAAGAAACTCAAACAGAATCGCTGAAAATGTTAATATTTTACAATGCCTAAGTATGTTTCTTGTTCAAGTTTAAAAGAGATGAAAATTCTGTAAAATCCTGTATCTCAGCTTAATCAGGTCCACCCAGTATTATGCTATTATACATTGTTATACATTGTTCAGACTCGGTGGTCTGTATGTCTGTCTGCATCAATCAAAAACCCTTAAATTCTCTTCTTGTCATCACTGAATGAATTTGATCATAAAACACTATCGATTTGTCATATCCTGTACTTTGGTAGCTCGCAGCAAAAAAGTCTCAAACTACCATTCTTTGTGATAATAACAAGGTGCCCATCATATTACAGGTTTATCACATGAAAACCTGTGATCAGCACAAGTCATCACAGACTGACAGACAATTATTACAGTATGATGAAAAGTTTAATACTTCCTGAACACTCCTATATACAGCAGCACTGACACACGAATACTACCACATGTAGAAACAGGTTCTTCTGGGCCTGTTCCTCACATGTTTTCTGTTTATCACTAGCATTCAAAACATTAACATACAAAATGTCCACACATTCCAGATCCGTCACCTGACAAAACTTGTACAAACCTAATTATAGAAATGAAACCCAATAGGCCAATACGTTTTGGTTTGTTGGATCAGGGTGTCGGAGAAACAGCAAGTCTCCATGGGCCAGCATCTGCAGCAAAACTTTAGCAATTTGGGGAAAATTGAAGGAATATTTTGATGGGCCTGTGTGTTAGGAGCAGGGGTAGGGTCATAAGATTTATCACAAACAGAGTATGAAAAGTAATGAGTTCTGAACTTGGTGAAAATTCAATGTCAAAGTGTGCACTGTATTGATGTTGCCACAGATTTCCTTAATAACATTTAGTCATTCTGAAATATTTATTTGTTATCCATATTGATGAGAGCAGGGTAAGTAAATCTGTGAACCAACAATTAAGAACTAATGCCCTCCTACTCAATGCATTGTCCATAATGATATAGTCAGCATATACAAAATATGCTGGTGTTACAAAACTTGACACCTCCTGTTGTCTTGAAGAAGAATTGTCATCTTGTCTATTGATAAAATTAAATCAAGCCAGGTGCTCTGCTGTTTTCATGCCTGTACAATATGGTCTAATAGGATATTCATCCTTTTCAGTCACTTTGTACCACCATTCAGGCTTTAGGGAGAGTCTGTTCTTGAATTGTTTTATCACACTTTCAGATGTTCTTATTCTCTACAGAGCTTCAGCCTCTTTCTGACGTCGTTGCAGCTCTGCCTCCTTTTCATTCTGCTCCATCCTCATCTGTTCTTCAGCCAGCATCCGTTTCCTCTCCAACTGTAGCGGACGAACATCTGCAAAAGAAATACCCTGAATTCATTGGAATTTTTACGAAATATGGCATATCCAAACCATGGAAATAATTTTATCACTATGATGATAATCAAAGATGTCCTCTTGTTCTTTTTCTATTCTATGTAACATTTTACCAATAATTCTAAATTAGGTGTATTTATCAGCTAAAAACATAAATGTTGAAGTCTAATTCTTGTTCATATGCACACATGCAATAATGTCAAGATTTATAATGATTTATAAACTATTATGGATGACAGAGAATTATTTTTCTGTATTGCTTCTTGAAATATGTTTTGTTGTTCCTCCTGACACACTCATCCCCATTACATGTTGCTGTTATATATATGCACTGTTACAACTTCTTCAACTAAATCTCTTTGTCTTCTTCCTGGACTACAATTTTTTGCACTTATGCAGTTCATCTTTGGATAGTAAGGGAAGAAAGATATAGTCAACATGACTGAGGACTTGTCTCTTCATACACTGAGTCAAGCAGGTTTTGCCAGGTAACCACAGACACAAGAAAAAGGACTACTTCTGCTTTAAAGATTTGTAACCTACCAAAGAGATTCAGTTTGATCCTTACATAGTCAGTTTAAAGCTGTGGGGCACTACAGGATACTTACAAGACAGGTATCTGTACCCCCTCCAAGTCAGAAGTCCACATCCTATTGCGGTCAGTCCTATCAATCCCGTCACCACACTTTTGTGAAGAACATCATACACAAGGTGTTTCCTTATTTTCCTCATCCTCTGAAAACATTCACACAAAAAGACAGGAATATCATGACACAATCCAAATCTGCTGAATCTATTTTTTCATTTCAACTCACTTATCACATCTCATGTTCATTAGGTAGGATTTTTGTAATGTGCATATTTTTCCAAAGATGCTGTGAATGCATAATGGATACAAATGATTTGAACACTTGCTCATAAATGTCAAAACATCTTGTATAATCAAGGAATAACTAGTTAGTGGTCTTCTGAGGATAGAAATCTTTTCGTGCATCAACAGTAATTTTTTCTCAGGAATAAGTCACGCACAGCTGTGGAATCTAGGGATATATCAACTATTGTTTGCAAACGAACACTCACTTAATGCTGCAGTAAGCAGGATTCTTGTTGTAAATAATAAATAATAATAAGTACATTTATATTGCGCCAAATCCAGACACGAAGTGTATGCTCATAGCGCTACATAAGAGATTCTGTAATTCTGTTACTCTGTAAACAGTCAAGTGTGGACCTGAGAGTCTATTCTAACCAATCTTACCAGCTACAATCCTCACCATAAGGATATGATGCCAAATAATCAACCCAATCACCAAGCTTGATAACACAATATATTCCGATGTCTTACAACATACAATGATCTCAAGCCAGACTGATATGCATACTTCTGTACCGAGTCTCTTGTGGGCCAGCGTATCAGTGACATTTGAAAGTTGATAATAAGCAAAGATCATAAGAGTCGACAAAGTAAAGAACATTTTGTGTTACAAAGGCAAGAAAAACGTTCTTGCAATTAGAGAATCGGTTTAACATAAGAGTATCATTATCTCAAGAAAAAAGATTGGTTATCATTGGAAATTACTTATATATACATGAGCATCTTCCTTTATAAGGAGGCGGTGGGGTAGCCTAGTGGTTAAAGCGTTGGCTCGTCACGCCGAAGACCCGGGTTCGATTCCCCACATGGGCACAATGTGTGAAGCCCATTTCTGGTGTCCCCCGCCGTGATATTGCTGGAATATTGCTAAAAGTGGCGTAAAACTAAACTCAGTCAGTCAGTCCTTTATAAGGTGAGTGAGTTGGGGTGAAATGGTGCGCTGTTACCACGGTACGGTACAGTACGTATTGCGGTACAAGGCCTTGATTGGTCCATTTGGGTATAGGAGAGCTTACTTCTGGGAAAATAGCGGCCGTCCAACAAAGAAATGCATAGATTTTGACAAAATGATTTGATTCCTAGATATTTTAGAAATACCAAATTTTCAGATTGCATTACGGTGTACCGAACCAAAGGCAAAATACTGCGGTTCTACTAATACCACTGTATACCGTTTCACTCCTATGTGTGAGTTTATTTTAAGCCACACTCAGCAATATTCCAGCTATATGGCGGCAGTCTTTAAATAATTGAGTCTGGACCGAACCTATTAGTTGCCTCTGATGACAAGCATGGGTTGCTGAAGATCTTCACAGGTCTCCTTTATATATACGGGTTAGTGTAGGATCCCACCAACTCTATATTCTTAGCCCACCATATAGCTGGAATATTGCTGAGTGCAGCTTAAAACTACACTCACTCATATTCTTAGCCTTGAATAAAAGATGGCATAATATTATATAGAGGATCAATCATTCCTAAGATAAAAAAGATGCAGTTCAGCAACTAAACATTCTTCGCAAGTCGCTCACAATATTTCCAATCACGTTGTGGCCATTTCAATGAGAAACAGTCCACAGGTTCTCTATCATCGATGTGTTGTTATGAACAATATTCTAATGTTTCATTAGTAGGTGAATGAATGGGCTGCAAATAATAACTTATAATGCCTACTTCTGTAGCATGTCATCAAATGAAATACCTAAGATTCTTATTAACCATCAGGCTTACCTCGACGAAACGTGCAAGTCCGCTTGGGGCAAATATGACCTTGACTGGACTCCTGTCTACATAAAGTAACTAAAAGCGCTAAGCACGTCACGCATATCATCCGTGGAACCAGTTTAAAAATGACCTTCACATTTAACTTGACAACGCAAAGCTAATATTATGAGATATTCGCACAATAAGCATATTTGTCTAATACGTTCCATTTTATCAACAAAACCGCCATACAGTATTTTTTATTTGAATTGTTCTTGAGGTATTAAAATGAACATTATCTACTTTTACAGATATACGTTTTCGCATTCATAGGTAAAGCTAGAAGCCGTCTCGCGGAAGCCATTTTCAAACAATATGGCGGATGAAATGTAGTAACTTAGGTAAATAATAACAAATGTTTAAGATTTTTTAATAGTTAGCATGGCAATTATGTCAGTGACAGATAATGTCTTTTGTGGTGTACCAACCCCGTTTATTCTGACTTTTGAACTGACATGTATCACTTTTAATGTAAATAATGATGATAAACGATGATATTGAAATGACGGAAATGACAGTTTTTTTAGACCAAACCGCTGATTCATTATACTACCGGTATGGACATGATCATATTTGGGGTACAAAATCATATTTTGAGCTGTACCCATATTTCATTGCTGTATTGTTTTTAACAGATACAATATATAACTGCACCCCGATTTTGGTAGCATCATGGTTGTAATGATTGGGTTATATTTCGATATTCCTAGGTCCCTATTAGTTTAACCATGGTAATCCTAATGTTTGTAACAAAAGCTATCATTGTTATCAGGAGGTATAAAGTTTTCACAATCATCTGCACTCTTGGTTTTTTTCTGTCTTTCTAGACATTTTATTCAAAGATCAGAATTTTTATAATCTGATCAAGAATGGAAACAAGTCGAACATCAAGTCGTCAAAACAAGAGCTATCAGGAACCAGATAAAGAAAACAATGTCTTACGCAAAAGGTGGGTATCACGTTTATAATAAATAACTGAAACTGTCCACGAGAATAGAGATATCATCACACGAAGATTATTAGTTGAGTTGAAACATCCTAGTGGAGTTGGAAATGCTTTTCAGACACTGACTTTTGTCATAAGAGGAAGGTTGGACTTGGTGACCTAAGTGATTAGGTGTCATCATTCACCGACAACATGGAGATGTTACTCATGATGTTATCACTGGATTGTCTTATCCAGACTAGAATGTTTACAATATGAATTTGTATAACTGGAAGTGCCCAATTTGATGTAAATTACCTTCTCAGACAAAATGGCTATATTATTGTCTTTTGTGGGTAAGCATTTATTGTAAGCATGGTACGTTACCCCTTACCAAAGCCAAAGTTTAAGATGAATCCTCCCACACCAGAGTCACATACTCTGACTGTTAGTTACTCTTAACTGAAATATTAGAATACAGTGTTGTGTTGATGAAAGATGCTAGTTGATCCTTGTATGGAATAATCCTAAGATGATTCAGACTGTCCTGATGTTATATTTAACAGACCACCATCAGGAGGCAGCCGACACTTGAACAATTCTAATTCATCTAGTCTTGAAATCCTGGAACCAGAAGGTGAGAGGGTGTATTACAGGGTCAACAATAGATTAAGGGGTGAAGGTTAAACTTAACCATGTCTTGGAACAATTCTTAGTTCATCTGCATGAAATATGATGTAAGTTTCGACATACCAAAACCGGTGTTTGATCTGACTTTTGTGCACTTGTCTATACTGAGTATTGATTAGTCTCGACATCACATTGCTCCATTATTGAGTACTGTACAATATGACGTCGTCCATGTTCACCACCAGTTTATGTGATGTCATCTGAATAACAGGGTGACTTCAGTGAAGTTAGTTTTGTCGTTTGTATGTTTTTCATATAAATATATTTTCTGTGATGACAGAGACGTCCAGAAAAAAGGAGCAGTACCGGGACCACAGACAACCCAGTAGTGCCAAGTATGTATTGGGCCATCCATAGCTCGAAATTATTGAAAGTCTATCTCATCTGTGAATGGTAAAATTAAGGAAGGACATTGCCTTCTGTATGCAAAGTGTGAAAGTCCACAAGTAAATGTCATTTGTCACTACCAAAGTTTAGTTTTGATGGGAACAGTTCTTGGGAAACTGTTTTCCTTATGGTGACAAAACAATATTTAGATACATTTAAACTGTTTAACTTATATATATGAAATCCTTATCTGTTTATCATGTTGATGATGTTGATCAAGATTACTCCTTCAAATTCGTTTATGTGATGTGTATCGTATTATGTTGTCAGTATGTCTAAAAGTGATTACCGGTAATGGTTACTTACAGACGTGGGAGCCATGCAGGTTCTGTTCCCCCTAGGCCAGATTCCACCCTCACACGGCGGACACCTACACCAACTAAACAGATTTCATTGCAGGCAGTCAGGCGGAAAGAAGAAAGGTAAACAAATCCTGGATGTCTTAGAGCACAGTCAAAGGAGGACTAGATCTTCTTAGTCATGCCATGTGGAGAAATAGTTTTGAGTTAAAGGATCTATTTGAGTTTTTCCAGATTCTAGACCTCTGGTTCTAGAAATTGATTTAACTTTTTGAACATATGATTCTTACAAGATGATGATAATAAATAATGATACCACTTATGGGTCAATGAAAATGTAAGATTATAAAAGTCTGATGCAATGGTTATCAATTTACTCAGGCCAGATGTGGAGATGGGTTAGAGCCTAAGACATGATAACAGCTGGTTACTCTGATGATATTACAGTGTGCATATGTCTGTATCCCTTTGTCTTATTTTGACAGAGATGACCCTATTGTAGCTGATGTTGACTGGAAGGAATTACAGTCACAGAGAAGGAACAAGGGGAGGTAAGTATTAAAGCAGGACTCGAAGGAAATAATAACCAAATAGGAGTTTTAGTGGGGAGGTAGAATATTCCAGTTATCAGGAGGGGACAATGAGAAATGGAGTTGATTGCATGTAAATGCAGAGAATAAACCAAATAAGCAGGGAGGTAAGGATGTTAACAATGTTGAGATGAAGTTGAAGTTGAAGGCAATTACAATCTTGCAGAGAATGGGAACAAAGGGATGTAAGTAGTGTAACTGAGTTGAAGGAAATTGACTGGAAGGCAGTGTAAGTGTAAATTCTCTAAGAATTGGGAACAAGGGGAGGTAAGTATTGTAACTGATATTGACTGGAAGGCAGTCCTGCCGCTGAGTAGGAACAAGGGGAGGTAAGTATTGTAACTGATATTGACTGGAAGTCAGTGCTGTTGCTGAATAGGAACAAGGGGAGGTAAGTATTGTAACTGATGTTGACTGGAAGGCATTTTGCTGTTGCTGAATAGGAACAAGGGGAGATAAGTATTGTAGCTGGGCGAATACCAGAGCAGTTCAAGGAAAACAAGTTGTTTTGAGAATATTTTATTTTTTCCATGCATCGATATTTTCCATTAATACTTCAGACATCTAACATGTCTATGGAATATGGTTAAGTTAGTAAAATGGTTATTGCTAACTTTGATAACAAGATTTTCTGTTACCAAATGAGCTTAGAATTCTTCATGTATTTATCTTTATAGGAAGAAAGACTCTCTGACAGAAAAATTCCAGGAGCTGGATGTTACAGATAAAGACAAGATTTCCCTAGAGCAATCATCCATACCTTTCTCAAACTCATCTAGACATCACAGTATGTTATGTTATGTTGCAGTCACTAGCCTTCATATCTCTTGTTAGAGACATAGGAAGTCATGTTTCTTCATGCTCACTGTAAAATGTGTAATGGGTGGTCACTATGGCTACTGCAGCTTCAGCCCAAAGATTGAATCTTGTAAAAACCTTTTTTGGTGTGGTACCCTCAGCTATTAATAGTTCACATTAAAAAATTCCTGACAATGCCTTACAGATAATTTTGTCCAAACTGTTGCAGAGAAACTTGCTGTGGGTAAAGAAATGATATCCACTACGTCATCTCTGTAACTTGTGAATATAAGGGTCAGTCTGCTGTATATTGTTGTCTGTGACCCCCATTCACTTGCTCACTGCTTTGTCCTGTACACCAGTCCTTCTGTAGAGAGAGATCTGTTGGTTAAATGTCTCCCATGACTGACTGATCATCATTGTTTGTGCTATTGGCCCATGACCCATGCACACAGAGCAGATTTGGTGCTAAAGACTATTTAAAGTCTATACTGAAACATGGCTACCATGATACAACTGCAATATTGCTGGTAGTGGTTCAGGCATCATGTCTGCCATGATATGCTGAAATATTGCTGTTCTGAGTTCAGGCTTCAAGGTTCCATTATTGCTGGTTCTGGTTTATGCTTCAAGGCTGCCATAGTTGTAATATTGCTGGTTCTGGTTTATGCTTCAAGGTTGCCATAGCTGTAATATAGCTGGTTCTGGTTTACACTTCAAGGTTGCCATGATATAGCTGTAATATAGCTATTGCTTCAAGGTTGAAATAGCTGCAATATTGCTACTGGGTTTATGCTTCAAGATTGACATAGCTGCAATATTGCTGGTCCTGGTTTATGCTTCAAGGTTGCTATAGCTGTAATATTGCTGTCCTGGTTTATGCTTCAAAGGTTATAGCTGCAATATTGCTGGTCCTGGTTTATGCTTCAAGGTTGCCATAGCTGCAATATTGCTGGTCCTGGTTTATGCTTCAAGGTTGCCATGGCTGCAATATTGCTGGTCCTGGTTTATGCTTCAAGGTTGCCATAGCTGTAATATTGCTGGTCCTGGTTTATGCTTTAAGGTTGCCATAGCTGTAATATTGCTGGTCCTGGTTTATGCTTCAAGGTTGCCATAGCTGCAATGTTGCTGGTCCTGGTTTGTGTATGAAGGTTTATATTCTAGGTTACCACAGCTGCAATATTACCTCAGTACTCACTCAGCTATGTAATGAATCTTCTAAAAGCTGCGACTAAAGGCACCTTAAGGCCTGACAAATGTACATGTGTGTTCAGATTGCTCACATCACCATGAAGAAAGAACAGCTGGAACCAGTGACAGATGCAGAGAAATCAAAGAAACAAAGTAAGAATATTTTTTATTGTTTACAGAGCTCAGATAAGATTTCCAAAATGTGGCTCTATGTTGGTTATGAATGTGCCAAATGTAAGTCCATTATGGGATGCTGGAAAATGTGCGTATTTCTGTCATTTTCTAAACATCAGACAGTCTGTCATTGAGTGTTACTTGGTATGTTCTGCCTTAGTCATACCTAATCAAAACTTAAATATGAAATGATTTCATAAAAAATCAGTCATCTATACTGACTTAAGTACAACACTTGTCCTATACTAATAGTACATTTGATAGCTCATATGTCTTTTTCATTACGAAGCAATTTTATAAGTATATGCAGTATGCATTTGTTTTGTGCTGCTTGTTGTGGCCCAGACTTAAGCTGGTTTTGCATAATTGCCCACAGAACAATTATTTTTCAGTGAAGCATGAACACCCAATGCAGACACATTTTATACTGACTCACAGCTTACTGGGCCTCTGGTTTATACTATTTCCAAATGATTGTCTCATCTCTATGTTAGTTGTGGGCCAAATGTAAGTCATGTATGGGATTCTGGGAAAGTGTGCCATGCTTCTGACAAAGTGCTGACTAAACATCAGACAGTCTGTCTTTGTGACTTGGCTGATTGTGTGTCACTGTGACCTGATTGCATGGGTTTCCATGGAGATACAGCAGGAATATTGCCGACTATAGCTTCTCCCTCACTCCTTCTCACACTGACTAAAAGCTATGTTTGAGTATCTCAGGATCAACTGACTGTGTCTTTTGTTACCTTTTATGTATTCAGACTTTATCATGTGCAGGCTGCAATGATATACCTGAAATATTGCTGACTGTATGGTTCAGCAGACTATTCTGGGATCTATCGAGGTCAACAACTTTCGAGGGCCAAATTATGTTGTGTATTCAATAATATAATGTGATTTGTAGACAGTCAAATAATTTGCCATTAATGCCTTGCCCAAAAAATGTCATCATTTTTCACAACACTTTCACCCTCTCTGCAACTTGTCATGGTATCTTTAATCCAGTCCTCTGAATCTCCCCATCTTTGGGAAGCTTTGTCCATTGTGGGATGGAGACGCCATTGATACCTAGTGGTTAAAGCGTTACCGAAGAGGTTCTAGCTCAAGCATCGGTCATGCTGAAGACCCAGGTTTGATTCCCCACATGGGTACAATGTGTGAAGCCCATTTCTGGTGTCCCCCTCCGCGATATTGCTGGAATATTGCTAAAAGTGGCGTAAAAGTACTACTAAAACCATACTCACTCACTCAGTCTCCATCTTTCTGTGCAGTGGTTGTCTTCATTTGTGGTGATCCCATATCAAGAACTGTGTTTGTAGAAAAGTCACCTCAGACGGGAAGTCATTGGAGAGTAAGCAAGATGGTGGATCAGGAGCTGCTGCTGGGAGGGGGGAGAGTAGTGATGACAGTGACACAGAAGACTCAGAGGACGAGGAGGAGAAGGCTCCCAATCAGCTGCTTATGGAGGTCAGTGATGGGGGTGAGGTGTCAGCAGTGCGTGGCTGTGCTACACTTGTACTGACACAGTATTACTGATTGCAGAAAAATATCATTTATTATAGTATTAGGCTCCGTCCGTCCGTCCCTCACCACGTATTTAGCGAAGCGGTGGATATGGTATTTGGCTGTGTCCGTTCATGCATATGAATTGGAATATCTTAAGAACCGATGACCAGATTCTTTTCATATTTGGCAACTAGGTTCATCACAGTATGAGAAAGGTCCCTGTCAGGTTTGGTGACCTTGACCTTTATTTCAAGGTCACAAGGGGACTTTTAATGTTTTACCCTTGTCAGCGAGATATCTCAAGAACCGTTCACAGGATTTTCCTCATATTCGTCACCAAGCTTTATATAGGAAAGTCGCAGGGCCCAGTCGATTTGGGTGACCTTTACATAATTTTCAAGGTCACAGCGACACTTTGAAGATTTCAGCATGTTATCCTGCACGTTAAAATTGTCAGCAAGATATATCAAGAACGGTTCAATGGATTTTCTTCATAGATTTTCTAGACTTCTCTTGAATGTTTTTTAGTAAGCAATTTCTTTACCCGGTTACTCCCCACATGGGCACAATTTTGCATCTGGTGTGATAATAAAAGCGGCGTAAAACTAAACTCAGTCAGTCATGTCAGTCCGATTTAGTAAATTTCTCCACTATTTTGCACCCGATAATCTGGATGCGATGAAAACTACAGAGCAAGATATACTGGATGACGGCTTGATTTTACCCCATGATTTTATTACCTCTGGCTTTTTATCCAGTCAGGTGTCAGGAAGTTGAGTTGAGTTCTTGCACATATTTTTTAAGGTTTCAGACCTGTCAATTTGTCTGTATGATTTCCCCCCAAATCTGACACGCACTGCGAACAAACCATTGCGGCTGCGACCGCTATCTTTGTTGACACTGGCAAGCTCGGTTGTAACGGCGGCTTAGCTGATTGGCTACTCTGAGAATGCGGAGCCAGCAAAGGGGAGGTAATAAAATGATGGGGTCGAGCCATAGATGCAATATCCAGGGTACTAGTGGAGGTTTATCGTAACGTATACCCTGGAGATTATCGAGGATGCAAGAGAGGTTGACTGGTCATGTTTTTGTTGACATTTAACTTCATCTTAAACTACGACCTTCACTTTCATTATTTTTTAAGTTTGATTTGATGATTTGATAATTTTCGGTAGGGAGATTATGTCACCTTAGTGACAATGCTTGTTTTCCATTAACTGTGGTAGATTGCTCTTCCAGATCTTTTCTGGGTCAAATCTCACATTTATTGGAAGTTCATATTCATTTGGAAAATATGTAGAGATTTCACTTAGGGCACAGATGTGGATGAAAATGTCTTCAGTCATTCTCACTGAGAAATAATTTTGGTTTAAGGTGACTGGTAAGTTTTATCAGTTGTTTGTTGTTTGCAACCAGGCCCCTTGCATCATGACACCATATTAACACAAGTTGCCTCAAATCACTGACATTGATGTAATTCATCATTCATGGAATTATCTGTCCCTCATCAAATTAGTGTCAGTTTTAAATGAACTGAGCACAGATAATTCAATTAAGTTTGTGATTATCATAAACCATATGGGACAATATGAATGTTGCATTTTTACTTCCAATAAAAGTTTAGATCTGGGCCCACTTGCACAGAACAATCTTTTAGTTACAATCAATCTTAGGCCCCTACAATAAACTTTACAATCACCATACAATTGCCATAATCCACTTGCACAAAGCCGATCTTAGCGTGATTGTAAGACGGCATGGATTTAAGATCGCGATCTTAACTAAGGTTGAACTCTTCAACGGTGGAGGTTCGAATTTCTGAAACTCGACTCCTGTCTACAGTTGTCTGCTAGTGTGCATAGCATGTTGCGCTTATAAAAGTGGAACTCAATTGCACTTTACAGAATTTTCATGAAAAAAAAATCCCACAAATCTTTAAAGGAAACGATTAGGTGGAAGATAACATGTATTTTTCTACATTCTAACTGTCTTGATTTAGGAACTCAGAATGTGATATTGCAACCACAGAAGTACCTACCCATGATTTATGAAAATATTGAAATACGAAAAAATGCATTAATAAATTTGGGTCTAGATTTAGTGACTTAATAATTATGAAAATTAAAACATAAAATATAGACAAAATTTCCTTATGATATAGCACCTAAATGTATGATTTGCCAATGAGACATTATTTAATACGCATCTGTTCGGGGGATTTGGAGTATTGGTTTTGTAAAGATATGAAAAGGTGTGGAAAATACACGACAGGGAAATATGAATAATAAATAATATTTCATGTATGTAATATGTGTTGTTAAATACTTATTCACAGTATGTTAATTATTTAACCCTATTTCGTTGATAATTGTTTTATTTTTCTTATAGTGAAATGCCTCAGCAAGTGTATTTTCCTGTTCGAAGAATACTTGTATTATATCTAAAATGCATAGATAAAAAACATCGCCTCTCATCCGACTCAATTTTAGATTTAAGAATGAGAGAGAAACTTGTTTTTGCATGCTATCTAATTGTAGATATTTTAATGATAAACTAAGACAAAGTCAATGATGAGAATGTGACCGAAAAAAAATATGGTGAGTTTTTCGATGTCACAACATTAAATACATTGGGCATGGCAGACTCTACAGCAACGGCATAATATGCCAAGGAAAACCACTGTGTAAAAAACTAAGATTAGCTGCCCTTGAGTTACTGAGAGGTCACGACCATTGCTAATCGCATGCAGGCACCTTTCATTACTATCCTTTCCTTGATTATCCAAAAGGTATGTTGTTTCACACTTCTTCCAACACTGAACCGGGTGGGAATAGTACTTATTTTTCCTTATCCTGACTCATGCTCTTTTTGCTTGTCTTCTTCTTCTTGCGAACATAGTGGAACACTTGTATCTCCCTAATTGAAGCTCCCTTCAATTTAAAATCACTAATTAGTATTCACCACGAGTTACCTCCCTTCCACAAGCGCGGGAACGAGGGCGCCACCTCTACCCATGTGCCTCACTCTCCCTTCTTCGCCCAGTGAGCTGGACGTGAGAGCTTCTGTGTCTCCGACACACTATATCCTTTGAATTATATTTAGTTAGTTACCCTCAGAAGACATCTATAGAGGTTTAGCTAGTATCCTTCAACCATTATATATTGATATTTAGTCGCTTTTTTTACAGTTTATTCACGGACGCCCGGTTTGTTTCAGTGGATTACGCTGATGAAAATTCTGTACTATTGCAGATTACGCTTTGCATGCTGCTGCTGATTCACCTTTTATATGATGTAACGGCCATGTTCATTATATTCACATTGCAGCTCGCGATACTAATTTATCCAATTCTACCTTTTTTATTAATATTTACTTTGGCGTGTTGGCACGCATTACAGCAGATAGGTCGCTGCGATGCAGAGTCTAGTATGACTGATACACCGAACCCTCGCCAGTCTACTGCTGTTGGCCGACTCCTCCCGCGGTGGTGTTCCGCTAGAGTGGTGGAGAGGTGTGGACGTAGTCCGCCATCTCCAAGAAGCATCCTGCTTCCCAGACATCCCATCGCCGCAGCAGAAGACTAGAGGGTTTTCTACTACATCTCAACAGCCGAGATCGTTCCCATCGCGAGTTTTTATTCTGTATGATGATCAGCCGATCATCATACCTGATGTACATCAAAAGATTGACCGATGTCGGCACAGATCAGCATGCAGCCTGATGTACCAACGCTGATATTCGATGATCGGTCCTGAGGGTCCCATCATTACCAACACTCAACGCAGACGCCGCGACACCCAGGGCAGCGGCCGACCTCTGAGGGAAAATCAACGAAGTCTACTAGGACTTTCTCAACCGAGATTGTTCCAGCCGATGACCTGACCTCTACGATGATCAGCTGATCATCATCCCGATGTGACGCCACAAGAAACGACCGGTGACAGCTACAACGCGACATCAGCAGAGATCACCATGCAGCCTGATGCCTCTACACTGATGTCGGACGATTTTCCTGTGGACCCTCCATTAACACCGCCAGATAAGGCACCGACGACCTCGCCGCAGACCACCCTGAGGACCTGATGCGCAAATTATGACCATGATGGAGGACCACTACAGACTGCATAAGCAGGGACCGAAGCCTTCGCTGAAGGCTCCAACGTAGACAGCACCCCAGAGGCACCCCGCCAACGAAAGCAGTCAGGATCGATGTCACCTTCGGCGAAGGAAGTCACGGACCACCTGACGGCGATTGACCTAGATGTACAGCCTTCGGCGAAGGCCTTCGCCAAGGCGGAAAGGACCTAGATGTACAGCCTTCGCTGGCTAGGGAAGGACTAGATGTGGACAGCCTTTCGCGGCGACTTCGCTCGCTAAGGCAGGATAGATCATCACCATATGCGCGTTTCATCCCTAGATGTGGACTCGACCATCAGACATCACGGAAGCCTTCGAAGGTCATATCGTATCGCTCCTCTCGACCGACGCAGAGGAAGCTTCGGCGAAGGCATGCGAAGGACACCTGAATCCAGATCATCATCATCTAGAAGGACATCGAGGGACTATACAAGAGCCAGCAAACTATCAACGCTCCCTCATTAAAAGTCTCCTCGAAGATCAACCCATAGACAAGTTGATCATCGATATCAAGTATAAGAACTACAATCGATATTGGTTCTGTTGAATCCATGACGAAGACGATGTTCGCTGGCCTAAATAGATCTAGAACGATCAATTAGACACTTATCACCAGACTTCGTAGAACACTACCACTTCTGAAAATGATAAGATGATCCATGCGGCTCCTTACTTAGGCAAAGCGCTTCACCGATCCCACATCCTGTTAAACACAGAGGCTGTTCGCTAAGCAAAGCCATATATATATTTATTATATATATATATATATATATACTAATCGGCTTTGACTCGATACCTTCGCCGATGGTCGCCAAGGCTAAGTGGCTCCAAGTCTACTTCACCCAGAAGATCTAGAAGGGATACTGGAGAACTTCGCGAAGTCTCCGGCGCTCACCGAGGAAGTCCTCCAAGGTTTCTATATACCAGCCACTCGCCATATATAGCTACTTCGCCAGTCCGCTCAAGACGCCGATAAGTTAATTATCAACTGTATGCCAGATGCCGCCTATAAGCCTTCACGGCGAAGATAATTGTTCAGGCTATTTACAACACAGAACGCCGCTGTATTATTTAGTCAACGACATTTCATGCGAGATCTTCACAGAAATCAACTATTCCGATAAATTGCTAATATGCAATCCCCGACGACGATACGATTATCTACATGCGACTATTACGCATATCTGCAGACAATTCAATATCGAAATTGAACAGCAGCCTTGTTACAGCTTAGTATAACTCTTTAATCGCCAAAGTTTCTGAGAAGAAATATGGACAACAAGTTCAATGTTAATTCTACAATTATGAAGATACATTCATGTATACAGTCTACAAGCTCACAACTTGCAAGTTGTTTGTACCCCTTATATAGAAGGAAGTCGGAATTATATTCAATACTGAAATTACTTTTCAATGACAAACCAGGAAAATAACCTACCCAGCATAAAATTACAGAGCGGAGATATTTTACCGAGGAGGTTTCATGGTTACCATTAACCCTCTAAACACGCCACCGGATAACTTCGAAGCTACGGTGAAGACCGACGCTTATGCTAATATCAACGGCGACAAGAATTTATTCAAGGTGGGGTTTTTTCCCCGCTACACCGGTGACATCACAGCTGGTATTATACAGAATCAAAATGCCTTGTTCTGATTGGACTCATGAGGGACAACGACCTACGAGAGGTCGATCTCAATCTCACAGTTCAAGACTTACGCCACAAGTGACAACTATATATCAGTGAAAGGAGCAAGCCTCATTACAGTCCAGTTAACCTGAACATTCATGATTAGACTGCCTTCTTTAAAGTTAGAGACCTCCCTGTCAAGTTAAGACGAGGGATCGGGCAGTCAGGCGATTTTTACATAAAGTTCAACGAGGACAGACACACCTGGTTGTGCACCTACATCGCCAAGGACTTCGCGAGCTTAATTACCTAGACGAAAGATACAAGTGGATCTAAATCCACAGCAGCTTCAGACTACAGCTGAATTTCATCAAGTTTTACTAACACAACTAGATGGTTAGTAAACCTACTAAGCTTCTGTTTGGAGAATAAAACGGAAGTTTCACCAACCTGGGGATATGAATATAAGTGCTCCAACACCTCACAAGTGAGGGTTTTATGAATACGCCTGGATGATGACATACTTGGACCCCATGATACGATGATTCTATCAACGATGGCCAGCAAGAGCACAGTAAATTTATCTCCACCGAACCAAACAGGAGGGAAAAAAAATGCAACAGATTATTTCTCTATCATCAACTTTACGAGAGTGAAGTCTCATGTACTATATCTCCGTTTGGATCAGAACTGTCATACTACGTGCATATATGGATGGACCTATTCCGACCCTCCATGAGCTTAATACTCATGATATTAGAGCTAACTTCTACAATTGTTCTACACAAATGTGATTGAAATAATGGGGGTTTATTTCTGAAATCCGATATGGTGGTTGCAAAACCATTATCTGAGAGATATCACCACCGAGGACGTCTCAGGTATACACCAATTCGATCCCATGGTCCTCGACAACAGCTGACAGTTCCTCGGAGAAGATAAGTCAATCTAACAGATTTTTACTTATCTTATAACAATACTAAATAGCTTCATGCTATATATAATTTACTTAAGTTCCTTTTATCATCACAGTACTATGATTATTACATCATACAATATATAAAGTTAACAACTCTACAGAGTTTGTTATTATATATATTTACCTTAAGTTATTCATATCTTAAGAGTAATACTATGGTAACATGATAATTGCATTAGCTAACAAACTCTACAGAGTTTTTGGCTATTTTATATGTAGCTTAAGTTAATTAAGCTAACAAACTCTAATGAGTTTTACTATTATATAGGTAATTTAAGCTAATTATACCTTAAGCATAGTACTATACTCATATTATTAAAATATATTAGCTAACAAACTCTAAGGAGTTTTGCTATTATATAGGTAGCTTAAGCTGCTTATTCATATCTTAAGCTTAGTACTATGTTTATATCATATAAGTAGATTAGCTAACAAACTCTAAAGAGTTTTTTGCTATTTGGCTTAAGTGTCATCATATTTCTAAGCAATATGGTTATATTATAACATGTCTTAGCTAACAAACTCTACAGAGTTTTAGCTATTATATATGTAACTTAAGCTTATTCATATCTTAAGCGCAGTACTATGTTTATATCATATAGGTATATTAGCTATCAAAACTCTAAAAGAGGTTTTTTGCTATTATATATTTCGCTTAAGTTTCATCATATTTTAAGCTTTATGGTTACATTATAACATGTATTAGCTAACAAACTCTACGGAGTTCTTGCTATTATATATGTAGCTTAAGTTTTCCTTCATAAGTTCAATACTAGGTTTATATCATATAAGTATTTTAGCTAACAAACTCTAAAGGGTTGTTTTCGCTATTATACAATTAGCTTAAGTTTCATCATATCTTAAGCAGTATGTTTACATTATAGCAGTATTAGCTAACAAAACTCGACGGAGTTTTGTTATTATATATATATAGCTTAAGTTTAAATATCTTAAGCTCAGTACTATGTTTTTAACATAAAAAGTATATTAGTTAATAAACTCTAAGGAGTTTATTTTGTTATATACATTTAGCTTAAGTCTAATCTTATCTTAAGCTAGTACTATGGTTACATTATAAACATATTAGCTAATAAACTCTACAGAGTTTTTTTATTATATATATGTAGCTTAAGTTAATTATATCTTAAGCACAATACTATACTCATATTGTAAAATATATTAGCTAACAAACTCTACTAAGTTTTATATTATATATGTAGCTTAAGTTAATTATATCTTAAGCACACTACTATACTCATATTGTAAAATATATTAGCTAACAAACCTCACGAGTTTTGCTATTATATATGTAGCTTAAGTTCATTATATCTTAAGCACACTACTATACTCATATTGTAAAAATATATTAGCTAACAAAACCCTACAGAGTTTTGCTATATATATGTAGCTTAAGTTAATTATATCTTAAGCTCAGTACTATACTAATATTATAAAATATATTAGCTAACAAACTCTACAGAGTTTGGCTATTATATATGTAGCTTAAGTTAATTATAGCTACACAGCACTATACTCATATTATAAAATATATTAGCTAACAAACTCTACAGAGTTTTTATTATTATATATGTAGCTAAAGATTATTCATATCTTAAGCTCAGCATTATATCTATATCATATAAGTATATTAATCTAACAAACTCTAAAGAGTTTGCTATTATATAATTAGCTTAAGTTTAATCATATCTTAAGCTTAGTACTATGTTTATATCTTAAAAGTATTTCAGCTAACAAACTCTAAGGAGTTTATACTAGCATATTAACAAGCTTAAGTGTATTAGTCTTAAGCATTGTATTAATGTTATATATACTTTTATCATAATAAGTACATGGTAATAACCTTTATATGGCAGCTGATGATAAGTTAGCAGCAGGAATTCATCAGTTCAGTGCCTTTATGAAGTTCCCATAGGGTTATTACAATCATCACAGTTCAAATCACTAATTATTAAAAATCCAAAGTATTAGATATTCCCACCTCCGCTCTGTGGATTCTACAAGGGCAAGAGCATGAGTCAGGATAAGGAAAAATATGTAATTTTTGGAATAAAATTGATATTTTATACTTATCCTGACTCATGAGGTAAGCTTCCTCCCATCCTCCCCCCACATAACACTTTGGATTTCCCTGTAAATTCAAATGTTGGGCTCAGTATATGAGGAGAGAGGAGGCACATGGGTGAGGTGGGGCCCTCGTTCCCGCGCTTGTGGAAGGGAGGTAACTCGTGGTGAATACTAATTAGTGATTTTAAATTGAAGGGAGCTTCAATTAGGGAGATACAAGTGTTCCACTATGTTCGCAAGAAGAAGAAGACAAGCAAAAAGAGCATGAGTCAGGATAAGTATAAAATATCAATTTTATTCCAAAAATTACATTATGATATCGACTCGATAGTTATGTGGTTCACAACCGCAAATAACTATGTTTCTGACGTTAAATCGGTGGTGCATTCTCCGTGTTGTTGAAGTGTAGAGGCGAACCACACAGTTTTATGCAGTATAAAAGCAATCTCCAAACGTAAAGCTGATTATTTGCATGAAACAGACACTAAATTGTGGTCATTTTGTCACAGACCACAATGATCTTAGATCCTTACAATTGGTCCGGTTCGATTGTAACTTACAATGATGTTAGCCTACAATTGCTTTGTGCAAGTGGATGGCGATTGTAGCCAAAGCCTAAGATCGCGATCTTAGGATTTACAATAATTGTAGGGCTAAGATTGCTCTGTGGTCCAAAACCATCTAGATCAAGCTGACTAGTCACATGACATTCCACGGATGCATTGTGGGGCTTTGGACAAAAGCCAAGTTAAAAAAATGGCCTTGTTGCTGTTTAAATGTGAGTGTGGCTGAGGCATTTTTCCCATAAAAAAATAGTTAACCGTAATGTTACCAATGACATAAGCCAACTGAAGCAAATACAAGCCATGATATAGGGTGCTAACTGAGTTGCACTGTAGGAGAATGTACTTGTTAATGACATTTGACATAGGGTACCAAGCTTACGCTTGATTACAAGGGGGCAAACAAGAATTTCCAATCTGTAACTACATTTAATGTTAATGCTTTGCAGCATCATGAACAAGGTTTTTTGTTGTGATTTTGATTTTGATTTACTTTATCTTTTTTTTTTTTCAGTTTGTGACCTGCTTAATGGAGAAGGATTATCCTAATGCCCAGAAGCTTTGTAAAATGAGTAAGTATCATCATAGCAGGGGCACGGTAGCAGTATCGTTAATGTTTTTTTCCATTAATTCAAAGAGAATTTGACATTAGCTCATAGTTACTTCTAAAGTAAATCTTGTATTAAGTGTTTACTCTGTCACCAAAGGTAGGTTAATGTTGAGAAATCATTTCATATGTAATATGAGAGTCATGTTTGTCTCAAGGAGGTTAAAGACATGTTGTCTTTGTATATCTATTTCCAGTTTTGCTCTATGAACCTGACAATGCTGAGGCACTGAAATTTCAACCATTGATAGATGAAAAGATAGAACTAGGTAAGTAAACGTGGGGTAGAATTATGTCATTATGGTTTTGCTCTGTGTAGATGACAGAGCAGATATTTGCAGCTGATCTAGAGCTTAAATCTGATGGTCTTTCTGAGGGTATCTGAAGGGATGGCAGAATCCGAAATGCTTTTTTTGTACTATTGAGACCTTAAGTTAGTTTCATAAGGATGATATTCACATTAACTTACTGATTTCAAGCCATGCTCATGTTATAGTTCTACCATGACATTCTAGAATCCTACATTCTGATTGGTATTGTATCAAGTCTCTATGTAATACCATGCTTTTTGTGATGACCTCTTGTTCCACAAATACAACAAGTACTAGTATTTCAGTATCTAAAACAGTGGTGTTCCCACATCATCTAGTCTGTGTACCATGAAATCATTCAATTATTCATCAGTCCTCCCTCTTGAACCTTCAGTTCTGGAGTAAATACCAATATCAGGCTGTCACACTCTCTGAAGGCAAAGTTTTTAATATTGTTGACATGAGATCAGTGTATGTGATAGAGAAGAGACAAATATCCTAGCTGAATTTGTCTTGATGAGACCTTTTAATATGTTAGTAAGGGGAGTTGGGTTTTTTCCAAATGTCTTTATTGTTTCCAAGAGTACATTGTTACACAACAATTAACATTTTCAGAGTTTGACAAACAGAATTCAGAAATACATATCAAGAGTGAGTCTATGTTTATTGTTGAGTTGGGAATATAGATAGCCATTTTTTTGTCTTGATTATGAAGGCTATCATTTTTAATTGCAATTTATTCTTCAACAGCAAGATTTATGGACGTCAACTTCTTTATTGTGAATGACACGATGTTTGAGTGTATGCTTGCTCTTTCATCACCTGATGAAGGAGCAAGCATACACTCTGGAAACATCGTGTCATTCACAATAAAGAAGTTGACATCCTTAAATCTTGCTTTTCTTATGCATTCCACTTCTAAATATCATTCAAAGATTTGTATTTTTTAAAATTGATAACCAAATACCTTTCAAGTTTTGGAACATGTTGCTTAATCCCACATAAATGAATATTATTTTTGGCAGATAAGATAATATAATTCAATAATCTATACTGAGTCAAAAAAGAAACTTCACAAAATGTAATTTGAAAAATAATGAATAATTTTTCTCTGATGATACATCTATGTATCCGAAATGGCATCCCTATCTTTCGACTCTAGAAAAACGTTAGCAAAACCCACTCAAACCCATCCATTGTGCCGTGCAAATGGCGTTAGTGCCAAATCAGGTTTTGCGTGCAGTCAATCGCAGTGATCTTCGCATCATCAAAGTTTTTCTTCATATGCGCGCGTTTGCATTGGCCTCAAGAATTGAAAAAACACTTTTAAACCACAGTTCTAACGGTGCTTGAAATGCCCGATTGTCAAATGTGCAGCGTGAGCGATGCGTTGGCATGTTGCAAGCGGGAAGATCAGTTATTGACATCGCCAAAGAGCAATGGGATGCAGCTGTCGCACTGTGTATGACTTGCGAGGTCGCTCTACAACAAACTGGCACCACTTCTGATCGCCTAAGGTCGGTCGTCCACGATGTGACGTCCACGAGCAGAAGACCGCCAATCAAGTGCCTCACGCCACCTCATTGACAGATTTCTGCCGCTACACGAACCAGGGCTGAGATGTTTAGAAGTCGACTGTCCTCACAGACCATTCGAAATCGGGTTGCGGGCTGCCAATCTCCATTCTCGACGCCCATATCGTGGGCCCAATATTGGACGCCGCTTCATCAACGCCAACATCTGCTGTGGGCCCAACGCCACCTCCGATGGACCCAGAGAGACTTGAATACAAACCTCTTGTTTATCTTTCTTCATTTGAATGTGGTTATCCTGTCCAACATCCTGATGTTCGCGGACGGTTAAATCTTATTAACATGCCTGGATGCCGCTTTGCCTCTAAAAATGTTACAACCCAATGTATGTATGATGACAAGGCTATGAGAACTAGACAGATTAGAAATATCATATTTAAATTAGGTTTTGGTGATGTTTGGGTATCACACACTTACGGAGATAAAAACGTTTTGTTAAAATGTTTTTCAACGACTGAAAGATAATTTTCATCAAGTTTGCTATAGTGATTTATCTGAGAGCCCCAAAATGTTTACGCATTGTAATTTTTAAATTAACTTCTTGTGAAACATACTTAACTCATATTACTGTATCCAAATATAGATCTTGTTTATCCATGATTTAGGTTAAGCCCCATAGTTTAGAAATTGAAAGAGGACGCTACTATAACATTCCCCGAACAAAAGAACATGCAAAATGTAAAACTTAAACGAATAATTGAAAATGAATATCACTTCTTACTTATCTGTCCAGCCTACATTGAATTAAGACGTGAAATATCTTTTTCGCAATTCTATGTTTTCCCCAATATACTAAAATTCAATTCGTTGTTATCATCCAAAAATGAAGACATTTCCTTGAATACTGCTAAATATCTGTTTTATGCATTCGAAAAAAGGAAATCAATTTTGTCATATTAAGATTGTATAGATTATACATGCTTTCATTGTTAACATTTTATTTCAAGTCTGCCCCGATGAGGTGTTTTTGTACTCATAGGCCCGTGGCCTCATAGTATCAGAAATAAAGATTTGAACTGAGTTGCACTGTAGGAGAATGTACTTGGTAATGACAGCTGACATAGGGTACCAAGCTTACACTTGATTACAAGAGGACAGACAAGAATTTCCAATCTGTCACTACATTTAAAGTTAATGCTTTGCAGCATCATGAACAAGTTGTTTTTGTAGTGATTTTTATTTTGATTTACTTTATCTATTTTTTTTCAGTTTGTGACCTGCTTAATGGAGAAGGATTATCCTAATGCCCAGAAGCTTTGTAAAATGAGTAAGTATCATCATAGCAGGGGCACGGTAGCTGTATCGTTAATGTTTTTTCCATTAATTCAAAGATAATTTATCATTAGCTCATAGTTACTTGTAAAGTACATCTTGTATTTAGTGTTTACTCTGTCACCAAAGGTAGGTTAATGTTGACAAATCATTTCATATGTAATGTGTGAGTCATGTTTGTCTCAAGGAGGTTAAAGACATGTCGTCTTTGTATATCTATTTCCAGTTTTGCTCTATGAACCTGACAATGCTGAGGCACTGAAATTTCAACCATTGATAGATGAAAAGATAGAACTAGGTAAGTAAAAGTGGGACAGAATTATGTCATTATGGCTTTTGCTCTGTGTAGAGGACAGAGAGCAGATATTTGCAGCTGATCTAGAGCTTAAATCTGATGGTCTTTCTGAGGGTATCTGGAGGGATGGCAGAATCGGAAATGCTTTTATTGTACTATTAAGACTTTAAGTTAGTTTCATACAAATGATATTCACATTAACTTACTGATTTCAAGCCATGCTCATGTTATAGTTCTGCCATGACATTCTAGAATCCTACATTCTGATTGGTATTGTATCAAGTCTCTATGTAATACCATGCTTTTTGTGCTGACCTCTTGTTCCACAAATACAACAGATACTAGTATTTCAGTATCTAAAACAGTGGTGTTCCCACATCAGCTAGTCTGTGTACCATGAAATCATTCAATTATTCATCAGTCCTCCCTCTTGAACCTTCAGTTCTGGAGTAAATACCAATATCAGGCTGTCACACTCTCTGCAGCCAAAGTTTTCAATATTTTTTACATGAGATCACTGTATGTGATAGAGAAGAGATGAATATCCTAGCAGAATTTGTTTTGGTGAGACAATTTAATCTGTTAGTAAGGGTAGTTTGGTTGTTTCTTAATGTCTTTATTGTTTCCAAGAGTATATCGTTACACAACAATTAACATTTTCAGAGTTTGACAAACAGAATTCAGAAATACATATCAATAGTGAGTCTATGTTTATTGTTGAGCTGGGAATATAGATAGCCATTCTTTTGTCTTGATTATGAAGGCTATCATTTTTAATTGCAATGAATTTTTCAACAGCAAGATTTATGGATGTCAACTTCTTTATTGTGAATGACACGACGTTTCGGAGTGTATGCTTGCTCTTTCATCACCTGATGAAGGAGCAAGCATACACCCTGATGAAGGAGCAAGCATACACTCTGAAACGTCGTGTTATTCACGATAAAGAAGTTGACATCCATAAATCTTGCTTTTCTTATGCATTCCACTTCTAAATATCATTCAAAGATTTGTATTTTTCAATATTGATAACCAAATACCTTTCAAGCTTTGGAGCATGTTGCTTAATCCCACATAAATGAATATTATTTTTGGCAGATAAGATAATATAATTCAATAATCTATCAATGTATAATGTTCCAAACCAAACAAGGTATTTTGTTATTTTAATTATGTTCTCAATAGGGTTATTCATTCAAACTTCAAGTTCATTCCAGAATACATATATTTGTGTTTCTCTACAATTCCAATCAACCCCAACCTAGTAAATGGAGTTTAGTGCATTATAAATGCACTTATCATTATTATTACAAAAACAGTAAATCAAATTGGTTGGTTTTCATGCTATATAATGTTGGCACACTTTCTTAAAACATTCTTATGTTTTGCAGTGTTTATTTAGCAAAATCAGTTATTTATATGAAAACAAACATATGTACAGTCCATTTGGGTTCAAATGAGAACGATGAATGATTACATAACTCGAAACAGGGATAAGTGCACAAAACATAAATAAGACACATGGTCCTGAGGGGTGAGAAACGGCTGATGGAACAGCTGCTGTTTCCTGACTGGTAGGGGTCATCTCACCTGTTGTGCTCAGCTGCACCTGAAGTGCGTGCCGGCCTGTTCCACCAGCTGTTTGTCAATGTCACCCCTCGGTGTGAAGAGTGAAAATAGCACAATATTACATGATGGTTTCTTAAACAACTTTTTCCGTGATCGACCATAAAACGTCATATTTCAGATCCTGTTGGGTACAGAGGTTTCAGGACCATGTGTCTTATTTATGTTTTGTGCACTTATCCCTATTTCGAGTTATTTAATCATTCATCATTCTCATATGAACCCAAACAGACTGTAGGAAAAATCTATCATCACGTATCCCTGAATTTGACCATTTACCCTGTTTTGAACTAATCCTGCATGACTTACTCCTTGCACTGTTAACAACTTGAAATGTTGCTGCCAAACGATGTTGAAATGAAGAGATTAACCTAGTTACTTCCAGATATTGACAATTTACTTATTTGAAAATATTAGACTCAGCCGATGCCACATTACTCATCACTAATCTAATACCAACACTTGTCATTTAGGAAGTTTATAGGTATGAAATCTATGTTTGAAACTGCTGCCATGAAAACATAGTAGGTTTATCTCCTATATAATATCTTCAAATCTGGAAATAGTAAATTCTCCTCTCATAGGTAGATCTAGTGGTTATGTAGATCGTGATGTGTTTGTAGACCAGGAGGAGGAAGTGGCTGGGAGTGCGGATTCTGATGATGAAGGTGTTGATGAAGATGAGGAGGAGGGGGAAGGTGACAGTGATGAAGACAGTGAAGATGACAGTGATGACAGTGACAGTGATGATGATTCTAGGTGAGTAGTAGGCGACAGGAAACAGGAGTCAAATATCTGATATCTGAATAAATAGTCTCACAATTACAGTTTTTCCTGAAGTGCAGATGCACCATCCAAGTGTTTTATTAATGTACAACATTATTGATGTCAAAGGTCAGGGCACAGGTGGCTCTGCAATTTACTGTTCAGTGCTGTGTTCTTAGCATGAACCAGAAATGGTCAAAGACTTTGAATCACAGGTTTGCACAGTCTGTCATACTCTGAACTCACTGGTTTCACCAGAGTTGTAAACATCTGTGACATTGGGACTTTCCAAGCTGACACTCAATAAATCCACCTCACTCTCTCTAAGCACAGGATTTACAGTCTTACTCTCGCAAAAGACAAGATATGCAATCTTACACATTATTTCACAGAAAATTCCACTTTATTTCCAAGTATAAATGCATCTAAAGTCTTAATTCCTTCCGATTTTAGTGACTCAGATTCTGATGATGATGATGATGATGATGATGCCGATGATGATGAACAACAGGAAGACAAGCTGGATTCTGGGATAGCATCGGCTGCAGGCTCTGTACACTTTGACATGTGATTGGTTATGTGAAGGATTGGAACAATGAAACTGTTATGCCTTAAGGCACATTTTTAATATATTGTCAGGATAGTAGTATCTGTGCTGCTCACCTCATGAACTGACTTGCTGAACATGAATTTTACTGAATTCAACTATATCTATATGTGATCAGCAGTTGTGCAGAACATTGTCAATGTGTGTGTGTGTGTGTGTGTGTGTGTGAAGTTGTGCACTTGTCGAGGCATACAAGGCAAAATATCTGTGATGTAAATATATGTTCTTCATCCAGTGTAAATATCACATATAAACACGCTATTTGTTGCAGAATGTTGTTTATGCAGATTCTGTATCACTGTATGTTTGCTGCAGCTAAACCAAAACACAACATCCACCTTTCATGATGGTTAATCAGAGGCCAGGGTGATACATCTTTAATATTTGCAGCATTTGGTTCTGATTAACTTTCCGTCCAAATATCAATTCCATCCAAATTTGTTTTTAATTTTTCTTTAATTTGAATACAACTGAAAATACAAATAAATTTATTGCATGATATTTTGATTTTTGTTTTTGTTTCTAATGAGTGTCAAGGGAGTGCATTTGGTTACTCACTGTGTGAACAGTATTTGAGTTGTGTTATGTGTATACTTGGTGAGTGAGGAACGTCTGAGTTGATGCAGGTGATGGAGATTTACCACCTTGCTGAAACCATCACACATCAGTACAGAGCTGACAACCATGAAACCATAACCACAGGAAGCAGGCTGCAGCCCACAGTCATATCTTTCTGACATGTTCCCAGCCTGTGCACAGGATGAAACTCTTCGGAGCTCTTTTAACAGCTGGGACATGCTTGTAGTAAGGGGCACTAACGGATCGGGTGGTCAGGCTTGCTGACTTGGTTGACACATGTCATCGTATCCCAGTTGCAAAGATTAATGCTCATGCTGTTGATCACTGGATTATCTGGTCCAGACTTGGTTATTTACAGACTGCCGCCATATAGCTGGAATATTGCTGAGTGTGGTGTAAAACAACAAACCAAACCATATGACTAATGAGGCCACATACAGTATCACACAAGAAACCAGACAGAGAGCTAATGATGTAATAGCAATGCTTTGGTAATGTTTTAACATGTTGTATCTGCACAGTTTTAAAAACTTATCCCAAGTCACATTTTCATCTCTCCATTCTCTATCAATCCTGAGTTGAAATGGGCTTCGTACCTTTACAATGGTTCAAGTTCCAAAACTCCTCAAGCAAACGCACCCAGCAGTTACCTTCATCTTCCCTTGCCAATGTCACCAAAGTAGCCTCTATGTAGCCTCTCTGGTCATGTGACCTCCCAGAAATCGCCACTGTGGGGGTGAGTGAGTAAGTATGGTTTTACCCCGCTTTTAGCAATATTCCAACAATATCAGAGGGCGGACACCAGAAGTGGGCTTCACACATTGTACCCAGGGCCGTCAGGCTGACCAATGGAGGTTTTAACCATTAGGCTACCCCACTGACCCGCCACTATGCAGAGATGGGATAGTATTTTTTCATATCCAGAGTCCTTATTCCAGCAATTACGAAGAGGAAAGTTTAATCAAGGACAACTGGGGAACTGTCTGCACAATGCACTTTCTGGACCTTGGAGTTCGTTAGATTCTGGGCCCACTGCTGAGTCGCTCTGTTACGTTTCACTAATAACGGCGCCATTGTGTATGAAAAGGTGTGAATTGAGCATGTTACCCTGATCTCGTGCAGATACCAATGAAATAATCTGTCTCTCAGTCCAAGAACCATAATATTTTCGCTTCGAACCAGCACTGCCTGTCATTCAAACGCTCCAAATTAAGCAAGTCTATATTCCCTTAGTTACCCAATCCCCCGTCGCCCATGAAGATACGGGCTAGAAATTGTCTTCAGCAACCCATGCCTTTCGCGACTAACTGGATCAGGTGGTCAGGTTCGGTGACTTGGTTGACACATGTCATCGGTTCCCAATTGCGTAGACTGATGCTCATGCTGTTGATCACTGAATTGTTTGGCCCAGACTCGATTGTTTACAGACCGCCGTCATATAGCTGGAATATTGCTGAGTGCGGCGTTCAACAACAAACAAACAAATCATAAAGATGCATGGAAGAGAAAATAATATGGTTCAGCGACTGTGACACAAACACATTAACCCCTCCATCCAAACTCTCAGGGCAACTGTGTAAAGGGGCGGGTTGACCTGAATCCCTCTGTGGTTTTATCCCTCATGCATTAAGCAGACATGTATATCACATGTCACTCCACCGGAGGAGGATATTACACAACCGTACCAGACACCGCACACACACACAATATTCATGTTCATTCTTCACGTATAAACCAGTTCTGTGTTTCTCCATGATCCATTATTCATAGTTTTAAAGTCTGCTTGTACATCAAAGTAGATCGTGCAATGTCATGGCTTCCATAATGTAATGGACATGAGTTTGCATGTGTGTTCAAAGTACGAGATGCTGTTTACTGCCATTTACGTTTGGGGTATTTATTTACACGACCTGCTTGTAATTGATTTAGTAATCAGTAATTAAGGTGGCATACACGAGCAGCCATAGTAACGGCACGGCTAGTCGCACAAGCTCAGAAACAACGATATGCATAAAGTTGAAAACAAATGAATTTTTGCATAACACTTATATGACGATAAATTGACTGGATATAGACTGCGAGAGACGAGAAGGGATGAGACTGAAAGGGTGTATGTTTTATTAAATATACGTTGAGGTCTGTAAGAGATGCAATACACACAGCGCTGAATCAACAGGAAGATCGTCTTTAACGGTGCATTTAGTACACACATATTTCGTGGAAGAATAATTTAAACAATGTTTACAATGTCAGATCTGTAGAGCTGATTCGTGCAGCGTCACATCATACCCCGACGACGAGTACATTTGCTCATGCTATCACCCACGGGCTTCCTATGCCAGATCCACTTCCGGGTTAGAGTAGGTCCCTAGTTCCCACTACTGCTGTACGAAGTGGCTAAACCAAGAATGTGGTCAAGCTTGACTTTCTTGACCGAGCGACATCGTACCACGATGGTGGAACTTTTCGTTAGTCGTGAATACAATCACCAGTATGTCCCGTCCACTCGTAACACACATTGAATGAATCAAATGTCCACAAATGAGCGTATACGAAATGCTAGGAACTGACTGGTTATATTTGTCCACTGATAATAAATTAAAGCAGCAAAACTGGAATTGATCTGAAACATTTTACTCCAAAACTGTCCTTACATGTTGATTTGTATGATTTGTCAAATGAAAACAAAGGTCCAAATCAATATGTTTTTTTATACTGGTCAAAGATGTTTACTTATAACTAAGACTTATAGGAGTGGCAGTGCAAAACTCGGAAAAGAGAGTGAGAGAGTGAAGTAAGTTAAGTTTTACGGCGCTTTTAGCAGTATTCCAGCAATATGACGACAGAGGACACCTACAATGGATTTCATACATTGTATCCATGTGGGGAATCGAACCCAGACTTCGTCGAGCGAACGCTTTAACCGCTAAGCTGCCCCACAGCGCCATCAGTAAAAAGAAAAGAAATGGAGATAAGACCTTTAGACTGCATGAGTATGTGTAAGTTGAAGTCGATGGTAGAAGACGTGTATTTAGTAACTAGGAACAGTCGTTTAACACCTGCAATATTATAGAATCACAACTATGCAGGCTGCCACGGCAATAACTTAGTGGTTTTGTGTCATAGAATGAATTTATGTGACAATTTGACACAAACAAACGGAGTCTTAGAAATAGAAAGGTGATAAACAGCAGTCTTTACATTTTGTACTTTTGTAGAGAAAATGTTTGGCGTTCCAAATGTTACATGGCATACATTTCTTGACGTGGTAGTCTACTAGTCTGTCATGCAGACCGTGAAACAAATATACCCAATGCAACCCATGCAAATCTAGAATGTGTGTCAGGTATAGATTACCACAGTTTTAGGAAATAGAAAGTCTCTGGGGTTTTTTTGTATTGTATTTCATTTTAATGTAAAACTTTTTTCTGTAAAGTATGTTCATTTCTGAGACGAGCTGTTAGTCTATTGAAAATTGACTAGTGGTATGCCTACAACAATTCGTTCAGAATTACCTCCCTTATTTGTTCAGTGTCATGACAGAAAATGTCATCTGCAAGAAAATAAGGAAAACGAAGTGATTTAGGTGATTATAACTCTTTTATAATTGAATACCTCTTGGTGTGTGTAAACCCAATGTAACATTACATATTACTCTGAGTCGTGTTTGGCGAATGCTATAGTGTGTGGGCACTGGCATTATGAAATCAAAGGGTGCAACTCACTGCAACACACGATTCCGATTTCTGACTGGGAAACCGCGAGTGAATTCAGTGCGTATTCCTTCTTCAGCACAGTGGATGGAATGGAAGTGTTTCCTTAAGCAAATAACTAATAAAATATACATATAAGTTTAAAGGTGAACCTGTGTAATCTTCTTTAACGCGAGTGACATCTAAGTATCCATTGCCGATCTGTTAGGTTGTTGTTGTGAATAAATTATACAAGTAACTCTTTCCTCATGGTTTTAACACATCAATATTGTGCTCTTCCTTGATATGCCTAGCAAAGTTATATGTGTCATCTTAAGGGTCATGGTTAACCATAGTTCCTGTGGCAGCAGTGCTTGTATTTTAAGTTGGTAAGGAATGTGCTTGTGGAAACGTGCTTGGTATCTGTATCTCTGTATGATACATGTTGAATCAAATACCAGACATTACCTACAGCTAGCGCCATGCAGAAAGCTTACAGTCGCATGAGTTTCTTGGCATCCTCACTATCTACAGGACTCACATTTTGTTAAGCCTACACTAACCCCTGGATTCTGTTAATCATGGAATTGCAAATTACTTGATTTCCATTTGCCATTTACATCGGCTATGCTAATTGTAACATTCTAATCAGAATGCAAATTACAGTCCAAGTAAACTTAGGCTCAGTATTATTCGTTACACTACTATACTGAGTCTAACAAAACCTTGTGGAAGGTCATGTCAGGTAACCTTTTCAGGTGACCAATCAGAACACAGCTTACCAAAGTTGACATTCACACATACCTTTTGAACTTTGACCTCAAAAAAGTTTTGTACCCGAACGATTCCGAATGCAATTTTCCGTTAGATCGCTTCCGAGTGATGCACATGGAGTACGCCACAACCGTGAGTAAACAGTCGCTGAAATTAGCGTTTTGTCAGTATTCAAGGATGTCAGCTTGCAGAAATATTAGCTAATGATAACCATGTCAACAGAAACCCAAACGCATATATTCTGCAGGTCACATATCTGTGTTTTATGCGGGTTTTCATTTGTTGTGAGATCAGTGTTGGCGACCGGGGAAGAGTAAATCAATTTTGTAAGTCCCGTCGAACCCTAAATAGTAGCCGTTGTCTGATTGGTTAAATCCATTCTGTCGTCTCACGTTTGATTGGACGTTCATAGGTCGCTCAAAGGTTACCTGACGCGACCTTCCACAAGGTTTTGTT